TTTATCATCAACCTTGAAACTTTTGGTGTTGTTTTTGTTATCCATTTGTGTTTTTTGACTTGGTAATAACTTGTCAAACACCAATTTTACTTTTCTAACAAACATTAATTCCACTGGCAACATGCCTGATTGTGTATTGAGATTAGGTGTTATCCAGTAAACTCTCAGAAAATTTTGAAACGCTTATTTACTTTCTCAAGATTTGCTTTCTTCAATGCTCTTTTGAACATTCCCACAAATCATTCTGCTTGTCCTTTCGACTTTGGTTGATATGGTGGGGTTGTAATATGCTCAATGGATAACATCTTACAAAAGTCTTTGAATTCTTTACGTGTGAATTGCATTCCATTATCAGAGACTATGATATGAGCTATCCTATATCTTGCAAACAGTTCATGCAAGAAATTCACTGTCACTAAGGATGTTAGATTTTTGCACTTATAAATTTTCAGCCATTTAGTGAAACTATCAACTACCACAAGATAATGTGATCCATTCATAGGACCTGCAAAATCTATATGCAGTTTTGACCACGGTGTGTCTGTCTTTGGCTAAGGTTCTATGTTTGTGATTGGTAGTTTTGCTGCCAGAGCACAATCTCTGCAAACTTTAACTATTTTTTCAATATCTTGGTCCATTCTGGTCCAATATACAAAATTTCTCATCAGAGATTTCATTCTTGAAATACTAGGATGTCTGCTTTGAAAATCCTTCAATATTCGCTTCCGTAACACACTAGGTATTACAACTCTTTTGCTTTAGCATTTAAGTCTACATTTTGTTCTTTGTTATTTTCTTTCAATTGCTTTTTTTATTTTCACAATAAAGACATCATTTTCTGCTTTTTTTCTTTTATTTCTTCTGAGTTAACTCATACTGCATTGCACAAAATGTTTTTTATTTCCATTTCACTTTTTAGTACAGCAATGACCATGTCCTCAAACAATTCTGTATTTTTAGGTATTAATCTTGATAATTCATCCACATGTCCTAAAATTTTTAGACAGTTTGTGCTCCATAAAATCATAGTCACATTTATTGATGGAGGCATATTTTTAATTACACTTACCTTGATAGATCTGGTTGATAACCATTTTTATCAATAATTTGAACAAGGTATTTAGTTTTTAGCAAAAAAAATTTGCATTTTCTTTATTGAGCTTGAATCCATACTCTCTTAGTTTTTCCAAAAATTTTTTCCTATGCCCAACTTGTTCTTTAGATATACTTTTGATTAAAATGTTGTCCAGATAGATCACTGCAAAATCACAATCTGCAAGCATGGTATCTATAGCTTGTCGAAAAATACCTGGTGCCAACTTTATACCAAAAGAAAGTCTGTTATTATAATCCTCTTTGTGCATTTATGGTCATCAATTCTGAACATTCATTTTCAATCTGAATTTGTTAATACGCTTCAGAGTGATTCAGCTTTGAAAATATTCTTCCGCTGTTTAACTTTGAAAAAATTTCCTCTGGAATGGATAATTTATGTGTTTCTAAACAACTGTTTAATCTTGTTCAGAAATCTGTGCAAACATGAATTTTATTATTTTCTTTTTATCCACCATTGGTGCAGCCCATTTTGAATGGTTCATTTTCTTCTATTACACCAATTCTTTTGAGTCTAAAACATGACTATGTTACAAGCTTTTCTAGGACTGGCTAATCGCTATCAGATACATGTACACATATGCATAATTTGAGAGCTCCACTGAATGATCTACTTAAAAAAGAATTAGTGGAACTGGAATGATAAATGTCAAAAGGTGTTTGATGAAATAATAAAAAAGATTTATATCAGATTTATGATTAGCACACTATGATCCAAAAGCAGAAACTGTAGTGGCATTAGATGCTAGTGAGTATAGTATTGGCGTGGTGATTTTATATAAATATGATGGCAGTAAAATGAAAGCTTCTGCTTATGCTTCTCACTCACTTTTACCAGCAAAGAAAAATTACAGCCAGATAGAAAAAGAGGCTCTCGAAATTATATTTACTGTGAAGAAATTTTACGTTGCAAATTTGTCTTCTATACAAGAAAATTTTTTTTTTTTTTTCAAACCACCATGGTTAAAATTTTTGTCACCTGTATCCTTGTTCCTGAAGCAACTTTTTTTGTACTTGTTCACTCTGTATGAGTTTTCAAAATCCTTGTAACTCCAGTTACAACTTGTATGAATCCTTTTTACTAAGTTGTAAGAGTTCTGAATCCTCATCACAACAGTTATTAATCGCCTGAGTTTCAAATCCCTCATCACCACTGTTATAAAGTGCTTCGTAGCACTTACAAATAATACTTAATTAGTCTGAAGACTAACTCCAAATGGCTTCTTCTTTATTGACTTCAAGGTCCTGCAGAAAGAAGTGAGACATGATATGACCCTTGTTGCTCATGACCCCAGGACCATTGTAAACGATGCGAACTTGATGTGTATCACTGTTGATGCTTCTTTGGGGTCTGCACAGAGCCACCTGTCACTCCTGTTCACCTATCCACTTTCAAGAAGGTAGCTATCTCCAAGTCATTGCGGTTGGTGGCTAGTGCCATTAGCATTATATGTTCTTTTAATTTTTGTATCAGATTGGAAGCTGTTATGTTAATGCACTTAATATGTCTGAAAGAGAATAAGAATGTTAAAATTTGGTACATGCCATGTATGATTATTTTAGGTCATCTTCCATTTATAGCTAGCTATGTCCATCACATGTTTTCAAATACCTGGTGCATCCTGTATGCTCAAACTATGACTCTAAATAATGTAGAAAGACCAGTTTTTAAAATATTCCCTAATCTATATTTTGTTTTTTAAATGGTATAACTTTTAAGAGATGACACAAAAGTTTTTAAAGCAGTAACTTAGTAATTTTTTTTTTTATGCCCATAGCTCATTTATGCAGAATGCTCATCTGGTAGGGCAGGGTTTCAATCAGCTGTGGGCACCGAGACTAACAGATCACACTATAATATTTTTGTACCATAATGAAGTGTTGGAATTCTTCATTATGAGACAAAAATATTATAGTCTAATGTATTGGGTTTGTTGCCTGAAGTGGGTTGTTTTGTTTAGTGGCTTATCAAATTCAATCTGTGAGAAGTAAGTTCCACTCAAATAACATATTCCTACAAACCACTGCCCTATGGAACAGACTCCTTAGAGAATGTTTTCCCAATCACTAGTTCAAGTCTAGTCAACTGTTATCTTCCCCTCTTATCCATATAAACTACCTCTTATCATAAACATCTACCTCAAATGGGCCCCAGGCCTTGTACAAGGTGAACCATACTGTAAAAAAAAATTAAAAAAATAACCTCTATAGGTTATTTAATGCCAAAATCTATATACTTTCTATGCAATTTTTTTTTTTTTTGAGACTGACATAATAATGGCTTTAATGATACAAGTCTTACTAATTAACCCATAGCTGAGGGTGAAGAGGTAAATTCATACCTTTTTATTTATTTATTTATTTTTTTTATTTATTCATACATTCATATTGTCTATGGCTTATCAACTCTTTGCAGGTTATTTAAAGCCAGGAAATATTTTTAGATTGTAAGATTTTTTTTTTTTTTAGATAATGATTTAGTGATACAAGTTTTACTAATTGACCCATAGCTGGGGGGAGAAGAGGTGAATTCATTTCTTTCCCAAGGATATTTGTGCATGAGTTAATATAATGAACCCAGCTGAAATTGTAACTCAGATCTCCGATTAACAATTCCAAGCCATTATCTTTTACACCACCCATACATCCAAACTTACAGCACTTGGTATTTCCAAGCAGTCACCCATATAGGTACTGACTAGGCTCAACATTACTTAACTTTGGTGATCATACAGGAACCAGTGTTTCAATGTGATGTGGTCATAAGCTACCTGAAGTTGATTAAGGCCATGCCTAACTAGTTGGGTGTCGTGCATAAATAAATGGGTTAATATTTGAAATGTGTTTGAAAGCCATTATTAATTTTTTACTAGTATTTCTTAATCATTTTTTTATTGCAACAATATGGCTGTTACAATTAGAAATAGACACTCAGCAAGACTCAAATTCACATCCCTTTTACCATAGGAAACATATCTGACCATGATAGATAGATGCTCTACAACAGGGGTTCTCAGCAGGGGTTAAATTCACCCCCAGGGGGTGAATTTGGGATATTCATGGATGAATTGTGACCACAGTAAGTTTAGTGTGGAGAGGAGAGCAATTATAGAATTTGGCCTGTCACCTTGAAAAAGAGTCAGGAAATGGCATTCTGACAAATGGTGAAAGGGGTGCATGGGGCAAACAGTGTTGAGAACCCCTGCTCTACAACTTGCACTACAAGAGCTGTTAAAGAATATAAAATTTAATCATAGAGACTTATTTTTTGCCTAAATGCCTGGTGCCATCATAATTGCTATTTTGTCTATATACATTAGTAGTGTTAGTAATAATATCTTGAATGTAACCATTATTAATTTTTGACTAAGGTGTCTTTCATCTTAATTTCAGTTGCTTTTTATTACAACTACTCAGTCCATCATTCTTATTCTTTATTTTTAATATAGAATGATGATCTGAGTAGTTGTAATTAAATGCAACAGAAATTAAGATGAAAGAAAAAAAAATTAATAATGGTTGACAATGCTTGTTCCAATAAAAAATATTGAAATGTCTCATTTCAAATAATATACCAGTTTAGATTTTTGTTTTTTTCATGCATCATCTTAAGAATAAATAGCATTTTTAGCAAATTATTTATTTTAAAACTTGCATAGATGCAGTCTGATTCAGTTTATTTAACTTGATACTGCATTTAACTGTTTTTTAGAATATGTAGAAAATTAACAAATAACTCTTGTTGTAAAAACATTTGTAAGGAAACAAACATGATGCATTCAAAAATTCCTATGTGATTGTTTAAGAAAATTATTCTTTTAAATATAATTGCTTGTGTGTTTATAATATCAAATAACATGAAATATTGATTATTTCTTTTGTTTTAGAAATGATGTTGGATTTGATCAGGACCATGCAATGCGGGACCATAGTAATTTTGTGGCTTCTGTGTGTATTGTACAACCAACCAGCATATATGAACAAGGACTAATCTTAACTGGCAGTAATGATAATCTTATCATTGTCTACAATTTGCAAACATATGAGAAGCTTTACCACCTGACTGGGCATGAGGGAACTGGTAAGTACTAACAAATCCTAACTTCAAGGCCAAATCTACAAACCAAACTTTCATAAAGATTACATCTTGATTTTCAAGTAATTTAATGTAAATCAGTATATAAGTAGTTATTGTGTGTGTATATATATATATATATATATATATATATATATATATATATAAAAGGTTTGTTACTTAGCTGATTGATGTTCAGCATCCCAACTCCAGAGTTTCATAGACGAACCCTCCAAGAATTACACTGTCCCCCTGCAATTGACTGCTTATACTTCTCATTTTTTCTTTTTTATATGCACTTTTCACTGGCAAAATTTTTTTCCATAGAAAATGTGTGTTCACACTCATCTGCACATGTGTGCATACGTGTAGAATGTTGTGATTATTTGTTCTTTTCATTGTACCCCCCTCCCGGCCTTTACCCTCACTTAACCTTTTCTCTCTTTTTCCTCTTTTCTTTCAACTGTTATCATTTGACTTCTGGTTTTCTAGACAGATTGTCACTGCTTATATTATTATAATAATAATATAATAATAATAATAATGAATATTATAATAATAAGAACCAATTGGAGAAGAACAGTCCATGTAAAAAACAGCATCCTTCAAAAACACCAGAAAACAAATACAAGAAATGAAGAAAGCCCAAAGAGAAGCCAGAGACCTCCATCCCCAGAACTCTCCTACTCTCCCATGCAGTGATTGCAGACATCATTCAGATCCAACATAGGGCTCATTTCACACAAGGAAATGTTGATGAGCATCCCAGTAATTTACAACGAATTATGACAATGAGAAATATATATTTGAGGTTTTATCAAAAAGTATCAGGACTGATGCTATAAAAAGAAAACTACAACACCTATCAATTTAGCATTTAATCTCCATCAAAGTAGTCTCTTTCTGAAGCCATACACTTCATCCAGTGTTGTTTTCATTGATGGAAGTATTCCTGGAACTCTTTTTTTGGGGAACAGTGTGCAGCTGCCACATTGCATTCTCTTGGATTTCCTTGACATCTTGAAATCTTGTTATTTTCAAATGGTATTTGATATTTGGAAAGAGGAAAATGTTGCAAGAGGAGAGATCTGAGGAATATGGTGGTTGTCAAACCTGGGTAATGTGTCCTTACACAAATCCTTCTGCACAAGCCATGGTCACTGATGGAACCTTTGTGGTATGGGAAACAATCACACTTCCAAGCACTGCTATAAACAATGAAATTGAGCTAGACAATTATTACTTAGTGTGCATGCATGACAAAGTTCAAGGTCAATCTGTGCCAAGCAGCTTCACTCATGTCACTTATATATTTTCCACCATTGTCACTGATGGCCTGTCTATATTTTGGTTTATCATAGCATGGAAAAATAACTCACCCACCTTCACCCTCTGAGCTTACTTTTCTATTTAGCACAGATCTGATATTTAATTTATTTATTTAATAATTTCAATATGTTTTTATTATAATCTCTTATAATAAAAATAATAATAATATATTGCTCTACTTTGTATTGAGCACATTTTCAAAGTATATACTATGAACAGTGGAATTTTACTCCATCTGTTCTTTCTCTCATTTGTGTGTGTTTATATATATATATATTTCATTGAAAACAACAGACGAGGTGCTTTTATTTAGTTTTTTATACAATTTCTCATGCAATCTAATAATTTTTTTTCTTTTCGGATGATAAATTATATAAAAACTGTCTGAATGTTCTTTTTATCCGAGCGCTTTCGGCTATACATTTAACCATTTTCAAGGATTATATTTTAACTGTGAAAATAAGAAATAGTTTGTTGTATGTTTTATAAAATTTTTATAAAGTTTTTATATAATTTATCATCTGAAAACAAAAAAATTATTAGATCGCATGAGAAATTGTATAAAAAAACTAAATAAAAGCACCTTGTCTGTCGTTTTCAATGAAATGTGCATGAAAGAAGGATTGCTGCCTAAATACACAAATATATATATATATCTTACTTATTATAAAACGCAGATTGTGTGTGTGTCTGTACGTTTATATATTGGATCGGATTTCCTATATTTTTCAACCGATTTCAATAAAACTTCGCAGGACTGCGTAAAGTTACCTTGCGGTGGTTCTGACAGTGCCAAAAATTGGAAAAACACAATTGTTTTTGCACGAAATCAATTTGAAAACACGATATAACACAATTTTGTCACCAGAATGAAAGGGGGACAACTCATATCGAGTTATACTTATTATAAAACTCATGTTGTTTGTTTGTGTGTGTGTGTGTTTGTTTATATATGGGATCGGATTTCCTACATTTTTCAACCGATTTCAGTAAAACTTCACTTTTTTTTTTGGCAGGTAATGTTTCTTATTGTCTTGCACACTTTTTTCTTTATTTTTACATTCAGAATGGTTTAAAAACTTCATTTACAAGACAATTGTTTATAATAAAATTCTATTCAATTGATAGACTCATAATGATTGAAAACAATGTTTTTGTTTGAGTTTGGGTTTGACCAATTCGTAAAAAACAAAAAACAAAACAAAAAAACTAATTAAGACATGCGTGTCTGTCAACCTTAAACAATAATCTTTGTCAATTTTATTTTTCAGTCTTCATGATGGTCGATACTTGATCTATCTCTTACTGTTACATCCCTGGACAACGCCGGGCTCTACTGCTAGTATATATATATATATATATATATATATATATATATAAGTACTGTTATTGTCACAAGTTCACAAAAAAATAAACATTTATATTTTGCTATTTTTAAAATATGGTTTATCTGTCTGTAATATATTGATGTAAAAGTGTGATCATCATGATAATGGCATTGCCAATAAGGTGCCATTAGCCCCAGAGGATTTTCATTTTGTAGATATATATATATGAGAAGCTTTGATGCAAGTGCTAAAATCAAGAAGTTGAAAGACAACAAAACTAAAGAGTGAGAAAATGCAATAACAGACCTTTCTGTGATGACTGCAAAGTAGAGGTCATCAAAAAAGTTTCAATAATGGCCCATCCCCTGAAATTTGAAGACCTGACTTTTCAGGAAATAAAATATAATATTATAGAACATGTCATCAAAAAAGATTGCAATAAGAAATCAAATGAGAACAGACAAAAAATTTGAAGATACATTTCTACCCTGGGTAGTAATTGATGTTTTATTATTGAAGAGAATGACTGAGAAAATTATTCAAGTAGAATAAAATGGAGAATAAGAAAGAACAGGTGGGGGTAATATTGTTCTTGAGCTGAAAGATCCTACAAGAAGGTAAGATACAAACTGACGGCAGGGAGAGGAGTAATCCTCAATGGTGATGTGGTGGTACCTACAGAAACACAAAGAAGGATTTTAATAAAGTGTGTACATGATGACATATATTGTGGAATAGCAGCTGCACAATAAAGGTCAATGTTTGAAATGTGGTGGCTGGGATATTCAAAAGATGTGGAAAATATGTAAGAAGATGTCTGAGAAGTAAATGAATAAAACATCTTACACAAAGGAAATCACATTCATAGCCTAAAGAGTTAGAGCCATAGAGCAGGGTTCACATTGATCATGTATATGTTAGTGGAGGGGACTTTTCTTAATATTTAGTAGATACCTTTTCAAGATGGCCTTAAGTAATTTGTATGCCAAACAAAAGAAGTTCTACAGTGAAACACATATTGAGAGTTGTATTTTCAAGAAATGAAATTCAGAAAACTCTGGTATCTGACAATGTGCCAGAGTTTTGCGATGAAGAACTCAACTCACAGTTATAACAAGTATGATGAGCAAGCCTTACACAACACTTTATCACTCTCAATTGTATGGTATAGCCAAAAAATGGTACAAACCATAAAAATGATCCTAAAAGCATTTTCACAGCAAAAAGAGAAAATTAAATGTTTTTACTGAGACTGCTTCTGAGTTACTGAAGCATGCCGCACACTGAAAGACTAGAGAGTCCATCATCACTGATGGAAAGACCAATCAGAAATCCCCTAACAATGTCATATGTGGTAAAAAAAGAATAAGGAGTCAAGTCCAAAAAAGGCAAATTTTCTAATGCAAAAAAAGCCATAACAGAAAAACAAGGGAGTTCTATACTAGACCATGCAAATCAAATAAGATCCTAAGATGAAGAAATGGAGGAACAAATGTCAAAGGGCATAAAGAATGATGATCAAGCGTATGCCAATGCAAATGGAAGCAAATGAAAATGAAGAGGACAAAGATCTATATCTCCAAAATAATTATGAAGGTTCTGACAAAGATCAATTGAAAGAAGATAGCCATGAAGATAAAAGTGTGTGAGACAGATTGAGGTTTCCCAAAAATAGAAATATGATCAGATCTATAAAAGGAGAGGGAGAAGTAGAGCAAGGAAATCCCCAAAATGGAACAGTGTGTAGAAAATGCAAAAGATTAACCAAGGACATAAAACCCCTATATTTCAGGGAGATGTAATGATATGTAAATGATCATTTGCATATGGACAACAGACACTCTATATAAACTGGAGTAGTTATGACAGAGACAGATATTGTCAGTAGCAATTGCTTGTGACTTACTAATAATACTACTACTGCACATCACAATACTATCATAGTCGAGGAATAGGAATTTTCTTGTAAGCATTTTAAAATTCTTTAAGAAATATGAACATGGATACTTAATCCATACTAGAATGTTGTGAAATTTCTTGTTTCGCAACATTCCAGTAGGGATAAAGAATCCATGTTCATATTTTCTTATACAAGCCTTATAAATATATTAAAGAGTTTTATATAATATTTATCATTGAAAATGAGCAGTATCAATTTAAGACTGTAAATGAGCCAAAATCACTTTTGTTCAAAAGGTAGGATCAAAAGAACAAGAATAATTTTAATAAGAACCATAAAAATAAAATCTCCTTACCAATAAATGCAAACCACTTTCAATCAATAACCAGACACAAAAAGTAATTGTCTCTGGACTCCATAAAAAGCCATAAATAATGAATTCTGGACTTTGTTCCTCAATTAACACCTGAACCACAGTATGACTTTTCATTACTCACAACAATACATCATCTTTTATCTCACACACATACACAACAGAACATTTTATGCCTAAGCATTTTTACCCTTTGATGAACTTTAAAAAATAGAGAAATTTACCATCTTTGATGGTTCCATTAAACCTCCTCAGGAAGATGGACCTTTAAACCAAAATAAAAAAAGAGAAACATGATCTTCCCTTACATTTAAAATCTCATACAAGTTTTTATAGTACTTAACACAGGTTATGGTAGAAATTATAGACATGAAGAAGTTTATTCATGCAACCAAGGTAAAAAGGTTTGTTCCTTTTCATTAACAAGGAAATGTGTAATTTGTTCTGTATATATGTAAAATCAAATTTAACACTATATACATTATTACAGGTTCACAATGTGAAAATACAAAAAGATAAAGATACAAAAGATACATGTGAAGATGCAAAAATGATTAATATAAAGTTACTGGTCATGCAATACTATTATAGTTTGAATAAAGTCCTTAATGTTACATCTGTTGATAGTGTGTTTTGATATGTTCTGTTTGTTCCAACTGGTTTTAAACTTCATTTCAATCATACAGAAAAATGTATCCTGCTGGTTGTATTTTCTTTTCTCTTTTTGTTGTTGTTGACTGCTACCCATAATTCCTTTGTTCACATCTAGTCTTGTAAATATTTTTGTCTTTCACCAAGAGCCTCAAATAGTATGCACTTTTCTTAAGATAGTTTAGAATGAAGAAAAAGAGAAATATAAGTGTAGTCACTGAATTCTGTTGTGTAAAAGCAATGTTTATAATAAATGACCTTGCTTGAAACATGAATTATGCAAAAGATAAAATTTTAAGAGGTGGGCATTTCAGGTTTTATCTCCAAAGAAGGACCACTACAAGAGAAAGATTTTTCATTTGTTTTACTTCATATCCCTCTGCTATTGTCATTTTTGAGAACCTATGAATGTATCCATTAAGTTTATCAACAATACCTTTTTAACTATTTCACATGTCAAATATTTCATAAACAATTACAAGCATTATGAAATGGACAAAGTCCGACAATTATTTTAAGACATTTTTATGTTTATACATTCTTTTTTATAGATACAAATATTTAAGTAAATGCTCTGTTTATGTTTTGCTCCAAATGTAAACAAATGACATCACACATTATGAAATGGACAAAGTCTGACAATTATTTTAAGACATTTTTATGTTTATTATAAACAGAGCATTTACTTAAACATCTGTATCTATAAAAAAGAATGTATAAACATAAAAATGTCTTAAAATATACAAGCATGTGTACAACAACAGTTTGATGCATTTTTTGTCACACAATACTTTAAAGGCAAAACACTATTTATGCACATTTCCTGCTTTTCTAAATGTATGAACTTGTATATAAACTTTAACTTGCTTTTACCATCATTAAAAACCTTATTCTTTTTTCTGTTCTTTTTGAAAATGATTTCAAATGGTCATTTATCTCTTGTTATATCAATCTACAAAATCTTACATGTCTGGCAAGGACCCCCAATATGGAAACATTTTAAACCTCATCAGGAGTATGAAAAGGAAGAAACGAGAGTCCTATTCTATTTTAATCTTTTCCATTGAACATTGCAAACTGGCACTACAGAATCATAAACAAAGAACTACTAAATAAAATAAACTACATCACTTGAGGACTATCAACAGCAGCAACAACTAAAATGGATAACATATTTAGTTTAAAGAGAAAATAATCACATAATCAAGATGTTGACATTCTACACCACTTCTAATAAAAGATTAGGAAGGAAACCCTCATCAATACTGGAAAAGTGATAACAACTACTGGACTTGAAAAACCTATTTTCTTGAAAAATTGTTTTAAGAAAAGGATTTTATAAATTTCAGCTTACAGCAGTACTAACTGCTCAGTCAATGAATGCAAAATGTTTCTGTGGCTGGAGAACTGAAGGAAAAAGCAAATAAAGAAAAAAATGACTTAACACTTGCACAAAGACTTTCCATTGAATGAAAAGAAATCCAGAAAAAAAGAGATGGCCGCTTATAAGATAAATATTTAAGAACATTATATTCTCACAAATACAAGGGTTTGCTGATCACATGACTGTTGAAAAGAATATAAAAAATCACATTACCAATGAGAGAAGGGACAATTGTTTTGGATCCTATGATCGTTGCATAGTCAAGTGTGGGTTTTCTGCAGTGGATGAATGGTAAGAGCACAAGAAATAAAGAAGAGAACAAGAAGAGGAGGAAAGAAGAAGAGATTTATTGTTGCCAAAGCAAACATCAAAGAACCGACAAGAAATACAGTGAAATTGATTCTCCCACAAGTGAACACAAACTAGTTTCCTTGTAGGGAAATGACTAATATTGCTATTGTATTCATTGCCTTTTTTTTCTAGCTGCTAATATAAAGAGAGAAAATCTAAAGAAACACTGCCAAAACCTTATCTCACCTAATTTGAGCAAACTATGATTTTGCAGAACTATGTCACTACTGATTGAATGTAATTATACTCTGTACTTTTTTTTATAATTATAAGTAATGAACTTGAAAATATTCAATTATAATTGATCCTACTGAGCAGGTTCTTTGAATTCTGTGCTCTATTAATTAGAAACTAGACGGAGTTCACTACAAATATTTTGAAAAACTTTTAAAGAATTGTTCTTTTTTTTTGTTTCCACTCAGTATAAATTAAATAATATTTTGTAACCTATAAGTTCTCAACAGAGTAATTGGCCATGGTTAAATGTAATTGGTAGAAAATGCTCAACAAACAGAACTGAAAAAGTTTCCAATAAACAATAAGAAAAGAACAGAGTAAAAATAATACAAATCAAACAATACAAGACAAAAGTAGGCAAAACAACAGTAATATGGCAAAGTTCCCAAAGAATGGTGTTAACACACAAAAGGGGTACAGACTGAAGTGTTTTTCTTCAAGACAAGAAAAAACAGAAATATGAATGATGAGATAGAAAAGTGGTCTACTTCATTGGCTGGGAAGAAATCCCAGTATGCATCTGTATGATTTGTCTATAAATTTGGGGAAGGGGATGTTCTTGCAGTCAATCCTGATTCAATTGGAACCAACAGTTTTTCCTTTCTGCTAAATTTGTCATGCTACACATTATTGTTTAACCTTATATAAAATATCAAAGCAGACTTGCAGATTCTTTGGAAAATGCATTTATAATAATGCCATTATTCCATCAAGTCTTTTGAGTCACTGCTCAAAATTTGTGTTTTTAATTAACTCCCCAAATCTTTTCATAAATTGCATTATAAATGTGTTTTTCTATGACTCGGTGGTTAGCTAAAGCATTTTGAGCATGATGATAAACTACATCCGGCAGCAAGGCCTCTGATTGGGAGGTTTTGAGGAGTGTGGAACCACCTTTTATTTGCTGTTGTTCCCAAGTCTCCCCCAACCTGGTGTGGTAGCACCTGTTAGGGTCCCAACTATGGGCAAATAATTAACCCCAAAACTATATATTTTCGTAAAAGAAAAAAATTACCAGAAATACATTTTTGTAAAAGAAATTACTAATGCACCCAAGAAAATTAAATTTGGCATTAAATGACCCATAAGCAGTTAATGTTGCTAAATAAACAAACAAAAAGCTAGCAAAAGAAAATGTGTGAAAAAAAATTTAAGAATTACCTGAGTAATCTAGTCATTACAGAATCAACATGAGAGTGAAGTTATCATGAGAAAAACTACAAATTTCAACTTCTTTAAAATTTACTTTATTTTCCTTTTAATTTATTTCTAGTTTGTACTCTGGCAGTTGGAAAAGCCGGCACCATCATCAGTGGATCCTGGGATAAGACTGCAAAAGTGTGGATCAAAGAGCGTTGTGTCATGACGCTTGTAGGTAAGAATAAGTTGAATAAGGTGCATCAAATACAGACATGTGTTTGAGTTGATATCCTAGTTATTTTAAAGAGTGAAATTAATGTCAACCAGCCTAGAAATCAAGACATCCATTCTAGAGAAAAATGTTACTCCTGCTAGGAATTAAACCTGTGTTTCCTTTTTATATCGGAGAAAGCACTTCTTTAGCCAAAGTGGGGCCTACCAATTATATCATGATAAAGCAAATCTCAATTATCTACTTAAGAATTCATATCTCTTGGGACATTTTGAAGTGTATACCTGCAAGCTTTTATTAAAGCTGTTATATATGGATGAATTCTCCAATCAATTTCAATGTATGGGGATCTAACAACCTTACTTTTGGTGACATGTTCTGGATAATATGCAACAAGGAATTTGCTAAAGTTAATTTTGCTGTTTATACAAGTAGAATCTTCCCTCTGTTTTTTATCTCTTAAAGTACATTATTTCATCTATTTCAACACTTATTTACATAACAATATTAGCAATTTTTTAAAATGCAGAAGGCTATGATCTATAAAAATAGATTATAGCCTTCTGCACTTTGTAAATACATCCATAAATATTTGCCAAGTCTTCAATGTTAATTTTTCTTTTCACCTTGAATTTACAAATGTTTACTATTTTCATGCCGTTGAGGCAGAATCCAGTAGGAATTGTAGCTTGGGTATGAGGGATTTCGCTACACTATTTGACTTGATTACTCTTTACGAAACCCACAGTCCTGTAGTCCTTTGGTAAAAGAAGACAATGACTTAAATAAAACAGTTGATGAAATAGAATTGATAAACACATGTGCAGTGCTTATAATTACAGTGCCAAAGAATGAATTAAAAGGAAATTTAAGAATAACAACTAATAATTTAAATAATATAACCTTGCTTCTTAATGTGCTTGATAAGCAATTATATACAACCTAGTTACAATTAATGGTAGATAAAGTAGTTAAATCATGGTGATTCTATTGTTCAATGAGGCCTGAGCTCTATTTGTCAAAATATTGTGATGAGATTGCATTAGTATTTTAGTCAAATAGGCTTACTCCATTTAGTCAAATGTTTTATTCCAGTTGCTGTCTTCCTTCAGGATGGTGGATGTGCAGGTGATGTAATGGATAGTGACTCAGAATGAGAAATCAGAGAACCATGTTCAAATTCTACTTGGGTTCATTTCATTCACTTATGCACAAATACCCTTGGGAAAGGTATGAATCCACCTCCTCCTCCCAGTTATAGGTTAAATAGTAAAACATATATCTCGAAAAATCATTATTCTCGAAAAGAAAAATTATTAATGCAATATTCACTTGCTAAAAAATAAATAAATAAAAATACTCTTACAGTTGAAAATGTTTCAGCTTTAAATAAACCACAAAAGTCAGTAAGCCATAAAAACAAATTAATCAACATTTCTATAGTAAATAATAGTTGAGCCCACTATTTTATTTAAAAGATACTGAAATTTGTTTTCTTTTCTACTTTCTCTCACTCTTTCTTTCTCTTGCAGGCCACGATGCTGCTGTGTGGGCAGTTTGTGTTCTTCCAGAACAAGGTCTTATGTTAACTGGTTCTGCTGATAAGACTATTCGTGTGTGGAAGGCTGGAAGATGTGAAACTGTAATAACTGGTAATCTATTTGTCTATTTTTGCATGGTGGTGTTACTGACAAATGTCTGAACTTGAGTACATTTGCTTTTTGCTAGACAGCCTAAAAAGTACAGCAGCAGTTGAAGTTATAAGCCAGGCTCTTTTCAGGATACAAACCCAGATTACTAGAATATTTACTCCCAATTTCATTTGCCCCGTGGAATGACATTTCACAAGAATCTGACAGGGGATAAGTTTGTTATGGGTTCTCATAAAATTATAAATTTCTAAGAAAAACTGGATACATTTTTTTTTTTATGTTTTGTGTTTCTTTCAAAAACAAATCCCAAAAGATCTATATATTCATATGTATATTTCTATCCATCTACATATAGTGTAGATCTGGCATTCTGAATTCAAGGAGAGATACCATGTTTTTCTGAAGCTCTAAAAAATTAACTGATTTTAAGTTTAATAGAAAAAAATATAAATATTGCTTAAAGGTAATATAATAATTTAATATAATTTGTAATTATTTATTTTATCTAATTTATTATATATATTATGATTATTACATTTATTTGAAGTTATTGTATTGTTTATTATTATTTCTTATCTGTATTACACTTCTTGGGTGTTGGTAAGACGTAGCAACACAGTTAGCCTCTGTGTGCTAGGTAAGTGGCTTCAGGCTGGAATGTGGCAAATAGTGAACCCCAAACACTATGAAAGTATAAAAATACACTTTTAGAGTAGAATTCTCAATGATACATTTTTATAGTAGAATTGCCGACGATAACAATTCTTATAGTAGAATTGCCAACGATAACGGTTTTATATTAGAATTACCGACGATAACAATTCTTATAGTAGAATTACCAACGATAACAATTCTTATATTAGAATTGCCGACGATAACGGTTTTATATTAGAATTGCCGACGATAACGGTTTTATATTAGAATTACTGACGATAACGGTTTTATAGTAGAATTATCAACGATGACGGTTTTAAAGCATAATTACCAAAAATACATTTTATCTAGTTGAAGCCATAAAACTATGTTCAAAATATTTAGATTTTGGTATTGAATAACCCATAGAGGTTGATATGCCACTAAACAAAATCAATCAAACCAATTTGGGCCAGAACTAAAGACAAGGAAAGCCTAATAAATAACCTTATCAGGTACAACAACATTTTTTTGTTCATATTTTAATGTCTGCTGGATTTGAAATTACTCCACTCTAAATAGATCTGTTGTTTTCTCTATTAATCCATGTGGCATGTTGTGCTACTATTGATACTACACAATAGTACTGATTATCGTAAAAGCAATAGTACATGATGCAGTATACAAACTAAAAAGAGAAATAAACTGAAATCGAAGCGGGATAATTTCAGATCCAGAAGTTAACAGCTTCGCTACAACCAAAAAAATAAAAACAAAAGCACTTTCTGCTTCTCAGATCTGATAAGGTTATTTATTACCCTTTCATCAAAAATTCCAACACACTTTCCTTATACACAGATTTGTCTTTCATTCCAAGCTGAAGATGCCTACCTAGCATGCAGTGACAAAATGTATTGTGTGTAAAAAGCTTTTCCATATGTCTCATTATCTTCAATAATCTTATTACAATTTTAACATGTACTCAATTTAACAAGTTTCTAATGCACAGATATTTCATACTCACTCTGCACCTAAAAATTAAACTTTTTTTTTTTCTTTCTTTTTACATTAATACTGTCTGAGATTTGACAAAATGGTTCTTATGCATCCAAACGACCAGAGAATGTTAACAAAAAGAATTCATTCTGCCTCAACAACACACAATAAATTTTCTTTCAAACTTTTTTTGGTAACGCTCCCTGGATGTTTGCATTCATAAAAAACATTGCATCAAATTCTCAGACAATATTAATGTAAATGAAAGAAATACAAAACAAGAAGGCATTTAATTTTTAGGTGTACCTGAGTTAGTGCAAAATGCTTGCATTAAAAACTCTGTAAATTGAGTACACTAAAACTGTAGGTAATATAGATAAAAATGTGTTTCAGTTGATAGATATTAGTTGTTTTTTTTTTCTTTAAAAAATATAAGCTTAGCTAATAACACACTAATGCAGTGAAAAGGTACAGCTTGCTAATCCCTATAATACCCACTACTAATTGCCGTTTTTAATTTTTTATCTAAAGCAGACAAGTAAAATAAAACCTTCTCTTACATTTAGGTCATACTGATTGTGTACGAGATCTTGCTATCCTGAGTAATGGTCAATTTTTGTCCTGTTCCAATGATTGTACAATCCGTCGGTGGCTCACAACTGGAGAGTGTCTTCACGTTTATCATGGCCATGACAGCTTTGTATACAGCTTGTCTGTTCTTCCAAATGATGATGGTTTTGTGTCCACAGGAGAGGACAAAACTCTACGTGTTTGGCACAATACAACTTGCATTCAAACTATTAACCATCCCTGCCATTCAGTTTGGACTGTCTGTGTCCTACATAATGGTGACCTTGTGACTGGAGGAAGGTAAGTTTTTAACCTGTAAAATGGAAATTATGACACAGTATCCTGGTATCAATATACAGTACATAAATAAATCCACACATCATCATTTCCACAGACAAAACAAAAACATATTTATTTTTAGAAGCAGACATTTTAGTTTGTATTTGGATTCAATATTAAAACATGTAATAGTTTAATAATGCATGTTAACGTGTTTGTAAAAAAAGTCTCTTTTTTTTTTTTTTTTTAAGTTTATTTGTTTGTGGTGCTAAATGACTATGAGTCAGAGGATGAGTTCTTTCAAAGTGAAGCAAAGAATTTCACAACCTTAGACCTGTCAAGCAATTATCCCACTGCCAGTTTTGCCACCATTGAAGTGTTAAAAAACTTTTCAGAACTGAAAAATCTCTATAAAAAGTTTAATACATTGATACCCTCAGCATCATCTGTTGAGAGACTTTTCAGCCTTGGAGGAGGTATTTTCATAAAAAATAGACTTAGTTTAAAAGATGAAAATTTCGAAAAACTTTTGCTAAAGTTGAACTTTAATTTTTATAAAATAAAATTTAACAATGCTGAATTTGATTCTTGGTTCAATGTCTGTGTAATAAGTTCAGACGACATCATAGTGATTTTTGTTTCTGTTGGAATATCTACGTATTGACTATCAACCATGCCTTATTTTAAACTGTAAATTTTCAAATTTTTTTTACTTTTGATGGAACTTAAAAAAAATTGGAAAAGTGTCAAATATGTCCAAAATACATTAAGTTTATGTGGGGGTAGGGAGAAATATAGACTTAAGCAGTTTTCAATTAACAAGGGCCAACAAGGTTCTTAACACCCCCCCCACACACACATACACAATGATTTGCATTTCTATCTTGTAATGAATATTATGCTATATACATAACATGCAACTTGCAACAGTTAAAAAAATAAATTACAAACAGAAAACGTTTTTCGTTAACTATTCTAAAAAAAAAAAATATTCACAGTACGTGACTCAAAAATCATATGAAAATATTGTTTATCTAAATTAAATTTCTAAAAAATTTTCTATCCAAATCAATTATTTACACATTTTTCATCAGCATACATAAGAATATAGAAATATATTTTAAGGCAGATGTTTGTGTTAAATGGGGGACAATAAATTGTGGATTAGGTGAAAATACAGTTGAAAATTTATTGATGTAATATTACAATGTATCAATGGAGTGGGAAAAGGAGCACACTTCTTTTTTCAGGAGCTGGAGTGGCTCTGTCTTTTTATGAAAAGTGTTAGACGGGAAGCATGCTCCATTTGGGGGTATATGCAGAATTTGATGAGCACATAAATCCCTGGTTTCTTTTGCTGGCAACCAAACATTCTGTCTTCTTGCAATTGATATTTATTCCTTTCTTTTCGCTTTTCTTCACTACCTTCTGTAGGAGTTCTTGTAGTTTCCTTTCTATGTCTGCTATCAACACTGTGTCATCTGCATGTCTAATGTTAAGATTTTGGCCTCCAATAATGAATCCAGGTAGGATATTCAATTCTTTCAAAATTACTTCACTGTAAAGTTTGAATAAGTCTGGTGAGAAGACACATCCTTGTCTTACACCTCTTTCTTTTTTTGTATATTTATTGAATTCATTTTCTATCCATATGCTGGTAGTTTGCTGCCAGTATAAGTTCCGGATTATTCTAATGTTCTTCCCAAATATATTAAACTTACTTAGCAGTTCCAACAGTTCTATGTGATGTTACTTTATCAAATTCTTTTGCATAATCTATAAAACATAGGTTATACATGTGTTGCTCTTTCTGATATCATTCTGATTATAATTATCATATTCCTTGTATGTATGTATGTATATATTTATCTATGCACCATATCTTCATTCAGACATGTTTCATTGGATAATATAGACATTATGTCTATTTTTTATAATAATCCTCATCTAGTTCTCTAATTAGCTTCTTGATGTTAAGTAGAAAAGAAGAAATTCTATCGTACAACAAAGAAGGCATTCTATCACACAACATTTAAAAACACATTCCTGTCCACCTTCACAATACTGTAACAATAATAGTTTATTAGGGAGGTTTACCATTTTTTCCCCATTCATTTTTGTGCATGTGAATTGTTTTTCTTTTTTTATACTGTCTAGACTACTTACACATAAAAGCTAATATTTACTCTTATGACTTGAGTAAATATTGGAATTTTTGGATTGTTATTTTATAATGGCTCCTTACCTCAAGGAGCTCCCAAACAAGAATAAATATGAGGTACTAAAGAGGAAATAAAAAGTAGGTGTCGATATATGTTTACCATTTTTATTAACTGTAACAATAAAACATGATATAAACATATTACTTACAATAGGCAATGGTTTTACTCTAAAAAATTACTACTTTTAAGTTAAGGGGAAGTCGTGGGTGACCATCTAGGAATATCTTTTGTTCCCCATTCATGTGAGTCTGGATGTTGGTCGTGGTACGTCTTGTTCTTGGGACTAATTTTCTAACTGTGCCAAGGCCACTAATTAACTTTGGTTGTCCGCTAACTGTGCCAAGTGCACTAACTCACCTCAGTTATCTGCTCACTGGACAAGGGGTTCTATCTAAAATCCTATGACATATATTGATCCAATTTATGTGTGTGTGTATGGGAGAGGGGTTACAACAATGCAACAAAAATGGCGCCTTGTTAAATGATTTTTGTTTGAACAGTACTGTTAAAATACCCTAACTTGAAGAGTAAAGTAATTTTCAGTTCCATTTCCAACATTAATGATAGTATGGGGTCTGTGTTCATGCTGAATCTTAAAATAATGATCTGATTTCTGATATATTTTTTCCTACAAAGGCTAAAAAGAAAATCATCAACATTGGGGAAAAGAAATGTAAAGATTACTACATACATTGATTTTGTTAAAGAAATAACATTATTACATATTTTTATGTAGAAATTTTTGTTTTATACAAAATAAATGTATCATTACAAGTGAATGCTGAAAAGTTCTCAGCCCAAGCCACTTCACAAAATCTGTCCAAATAACCAAACCCAAAAAATTTCTTTTGAATCCCTTCTAGATTGAGTGAGATCTTTTCAATATCCCCTTATCTTTAACATAAAAATTATTAATATTTTCATTTCTTTTGCTTTTCTTCTTATTATTACATCATGAACATTTTCACAATTTATTAAAAATAATTGCAAACACATATGTTGAAAAATCGTTTAACGGTAGATGCTTGTTGATTAGGAGTTGTACAAATAAAGCTTACTTTAAATTTTACATGGAGTTGGAGTTTGGTTAATTGATAACAGTGTACTTCAACTTAATATTCACAAAAAAATTGATATAAGTTTAATGGTCAACTTTGGTGTCCTTTTAAGTGTGGGAATTAAAAATATAAATATCTTTTGGACATTTTCAGTGATTAAGATACTAAATTTATTATATACTTTGCTATTTGGATCAGACGCATGGCCTAGTGGATTAAAGCATTGGTTAAAACATATCTGGTTCCCTGGCAGTTGTGAGTTCAATACTTGGGTTTGGTAGTGCTGAAACGTAACATACTCTGGTTCTATGGAAGAAACAAACACGCAACAACAAAGCTGAATAAGACTGGTGAATATTAATTGAAATGAAATAAATTCGCAGCATGGGAAGCAAAATAAGACCAATTTGAATAAAGAGTTCTGTTCAAAATTCCAAGAAGGTTACCATGTACAAGGACAAATACCTGAAGAAGGCTGGAGGTTACAACAACCAAAACGTGAATATAACATCAATGATGAGCATTCTGGTCTGAATAGCAAAGCATATAATAATTCCAATAAGAATGTGCATTTCTGTAAAACACTGACATAATAAACAAGAACATTGGTGGTGAGAGTCACTAAAATATATTAAAAGTACCTAGCAATTCCTGCTGCCATTATATATAGTATATATACCAAATTTAATTATTTGCTATGTTAGTCCAACTTCATTGCTGTGAAAATAAAAAAAAAACATGGTTCATGGAATTAATATTTTGTTTACACATCAGTAATTCTGTGTGTTTTGTTTTCAGTGATGCAATGATCCGTGTCTTTACTCAATGTCCTGACCGAATGGCAAGTGCTGAAGACCAAAAGGCATTTGATGAACTTGTAAATGCTAGTAATGTTCCAAGTAAAATTGCAGGAGTTAAATTGGAGGATATTCCGGGTATGGAATGTTTACAAAACCCTGGTAAGTTGTCTTTCTTTTCTTTCTCCCTTTTTTTGTGCAGTTAAAGAGTATATTGATCCAGAGTATTGTGATAAAAACAATAAGTATAAAATAAAATAAAATTAGTAATAAAATAAAAACTAGAAAAAATATGCAGTTCTATTGATTGATTGGTTTGTTTTTTTTTTACAACTTATCAACTTTTTGCAGGTTTTATTAAAGCCAGAATATATTTTTAAAGTGTAAGAATTTTTGTGAGGAGATAATAATGACTTACTGATACAAGTCCTACTAATTAATCCATAGCTGGGTGAGGAGAGATGAATTCATAGCTTTCCCAAAGATATTTGTGCGTAAGTGAATATAAGAAATCCAACTGGAATTGGAGCTCGACTCTCTGATTCCCAATTCCAAGCCATTATCCATTACACCACCCACACCTGGTATTCCCAAGTGAGTTACCTATCTAAGCTCTGATCAGGCTTGACATTGCTTAACTTCAATGACCGTATGAGAACCAGTCTTTCAATATGATATGGCTGTAAACTGCAGTTCTGTTTAAATTTCACTTAAATCAGAACTGCCTAAAATAGCATGAAAGTTATTGATAGTAGTCTTGATATTAAAATCTAAAAGATAAATAAAATGAAACAAAAAGAAATTATGAGAAAGCTGGTAAGAGATTGCAGCAAGTAACAGAAAAAGAAAAAAAACTGTCAGGCTTTATTATCATACATATAAAAACATTTGTGTAAACAATAAAAAATGTATTGAAATAAGATTGAGTAACATACATACATATATATATATATATATATATATATATATATATATAGGTAATAAATCTGTTGATATATAATCCAGGAGGATCCTACTAATATTAAAACTGATCCATAGAGAGAGCTCAATGTATTTATTATAACAGAGCATATATATTTTTTATGGATGCAGCTTATTATTCCTAATATTTTAACTGATCCCGAATGGTGTAATTGAATAGCACATATGTATATATGTGTGTGTATATATACCGGTGTATGTATGTGTGGGTATACATGTGTGTATGGTTACATATTTGTAGATGTATCATTGTTGGCATAGAGTAGCATCACATAGCAGGAACTGAAATCCATTTACATACAACTAAAGGCTAGGGTCATAAATAAACTCCAACCCCAGACCACTTAAAGAGATACTTTACAACCTACCCTTGTCACCAATACAATCTCCTTATTAAAAACAAGGTGTCCCTTTGAATAGGATTGCTATCTCTAGCTATAAAAGGCAGGATGTGTGTGTGTGTGTGTGTGTGTGTGTGTCTGTGTAACAAATGCACGGCTGCAATTTTCGACAGATTTGCATCAAAATTTACATGCACATGCTCCAAGTTAGTGGGAAGGCCAAAACCGACTTTGCATTTCCCAACTCCCATTGATAGTGGAAATAATCAATTTTCATGTAGTTTGCAGCCATTTTCTACTGGCCAGAGTGAGAGCCTATAGCTGGCTGCCACGAATAGGCAGGAAGATTCTATTGGCTAGCGTGAGAGCCAACAGCTGATTGACACAAATGTTAACTATCATGCTAGCATGCAAAAAAAATCGATAGCTGCATTCGTCACAAGTTGGAAAATTTTAAATCTGCATGGCACTTTACTCCATTAGCTCATTCGCTTGCTTAAACTCAACGTTGATTCTGATTCTGCAGAACTGGGTTGGGTGTGAAAAAGTATTTGTTGTTAACATTCTTTTTTCATTTGGTTTTTCCAGTTACGAGTCCTTTTTTAAAGCTGATCATTTTGTGTTCATTTTGTTTATTTTTTTTTTTTGTAACAGATTTAATGTTTAGTATAGAGCTTAGAAAAAAATTTGCAGTGTGAAATAGGCAAGAAGTAAGGCATGTAGCAACATCAGCACGGCAAAGGGCCTCCTTTAAAGGCAAGGAAGGGCAAAAATATTTTAAGTCAAGTGATAGCAATTGCTGTATGAGTCGTACGATTTTTGAATCCAGCATGGGCAATGCCAGGCCATGCTGCTAGTCTAACATAAATTTAAAGCCACAAGTCCAGACAGACATTCCAAAAGGCATTCAGGACCAATGAAGATTGGCATTGTTATGCCAAACTGAAATAGACTATACCCACATGAGGTAATTTTGGACTTTTGCTGTAAAAATATATATATAATTAATACAAGTAAAAGGTTTGTCACTTAGCTGATTCATCATCATCCCAACTCCAGAGTTTCATAGACTCACTCTCCTGTAATCACTCTATCCACTCGTCAGAGGTGTGAGCAATTGACTGTTTATACTTCTTGATTTTTCATTTTTATATGAACTTTTCATTGATGCAAGTTTTTTTTTCTTTTTCATAGTATATTTGTGTATGTGTTCATGCATGTGCATCCATCTATGTGTGCGCATGCGCACGCACACACAACACAAACACCCACACTCTATAGGCAAAAAGTTTTGGGTTACTCTCTGGATTTTGAAAAATGTCCTAAAAATTGAAGATTGCATGTCTTTTTCAAAACAAATTTCACATAGGAAGAGCTTTATCTTACTGAAGGAGTTTATCATATATACAATAATAATAATAATGGTAATGAAACTATTTTCTTATGCATAAAGTTTCCTTAAAATTTTAACTCTATTTTTTTTTGGTAATCTTGAGTCTGGAGGATTTAAAACTTTAGGTAACCCCATCTCTAAAAAATTGTGCACCATGCACTAATGGGTTAAATAGTTTCAGTATTCTAGCTTAGTAGGAATTAATTAAATCAAACAATGTTTTCAATAGCTTCATATATCGCACCTCTCGCCTGTGGAATTCCCTTCCCTATTCTTGTTTTCATGATAGCTATAATCTCCAACTATTCAGATGTAATGTCAATCAACATCTCCAGTTGCCTTGATCCATCTACTATCCTTCTCTTCATCCTTTCCTCTATTATTCCTATCTGCTCGCGCTCCAAATCCTCTATAACCCCTTGCGTGCTAGTGACTTCCCGCCTTGCTAGGGGTGAAATGCTTAAAAAAAATAATAATTTGGTCAAGCTAGCTTAGACATTCATAAGTCTATCACTTCAACCATCATGGTCCTGCATCAAGTTCAGATAGTCATTAGGGTGACATTCTGTGTTATAACATAGTTGGTCAATGGTGGTTGCTGGATGATCAAGCTGTCTTGCTCCATAACTAGGTGTCCTTAAAACTTAGTAATTATGAAATCTCGAGGGTGGCATCAAACTTGTATATATCCATGCATGTGTGATGTAATTATTATAAGATGCAAAAATGAAAATAATAAATGTTGTAAAATTTATACTGCAGTTATTATTTTTATTATTGCAGAAGAAGGGAATATCTTTTAGGAAGCTCCATGTATAGAACAATTAGATGCCATTAATGGTAACAGTAATATTAGCCATTTCCCTATGAGGAAACATTTGGCATTCATTGACCAAGAGTCTTGTTTTGGTTGAAATTTATAAAATCTTTCGCTTAAAACACTTTTTTAGGAAAACAGGTTTCTCAAGACCAATAGCTGTTATCACTATTTCCAGTATTGACGGGGGTTTCCTTCCGAACCTTCTATTTGAATTGGGGTGGAATGTTAATATTATTTTCTGAGTTACATGTGCTATCCATTTTAGTTGTTACTGCTGTTAGTAGTCCTCAAATGATGTGGTTTCTGTTCTTTGGTACAGTTCTTTGTTTTTGATTCTATAACACCAGTCCAGAATATTCAAAGCAGGATGATCTTTGCTAAGACCCTCTGGCTTCAATCACTCTCTTTTTTTAATCATTGATCTTGGAAAGTGGTTGTATACAGCTGACAGTTTAGGTATTTCTGAACAGGTTTGGTGCCACACATGATATCCATGTGAAAGTCTTAATAAAACAAGGCTATTTAAGAACATGACTAAAGTTTTCAGGTTGATGTTTTGATTCTGTAGCAATTTTCAATGTTGAGCAAAACTACTTCTGGTACAGCCTATTCTATGTTCAATTTCCTTTTCTCCTATACTAAATTTGTTATAACTGATCCCTATACCAATGTATCTGAAGTATTTAGTATTTACTAATTCCACATCCTGAATTTTTATGATGGATTCAAGCTAGGTGCCATCACTGATTTCATCCTAATTCTAGATCATAGTTTCTGTTTGGGGAAGGCTTTTCTTGAGTTTCATTTCTTGGAACACTTGATAAAAGATGCTGATTTTCTGTTCAAGATCATTCTTATCCTAATTATGAACACCTATATTATCAGCATAGCCCATCATCAGCACATTGGCTTCAGGAAAAAAAGCAGGATCATTGTCTTATATTGGTAGACTTGTCTGGTATGCAGTATGGAATGTTTAAGTGGTCAGTGCCCATGTCATCACATCTGTGTTTGTAAATAAAGAGATTAGGACTGTCATGTTTCTGTATTGGGATCCTTACTAGACATGTAAGATTCGGTAGATTGATATAGTTCCTCTATAAATTAGTTATTCAGTGATACAGCAAATAGAATTTGTAATATAATAAGGAAATAAAAAGTTGGAAATGTCTAGGAGTCAAAATTTGGCAATTTAAGTATGGATGTTTCACAAAACTTTCTAGAAAAGATTCAACGCAGAAATAGCTGACCCCCTAATTAGAAATGTATTTAAATCTCACTCAAAACAGCCATTTTACCTAGTATTTCATTCTTTTATTTAGACCTGTTTATGTTACTGGGGATTTCTTTTTTTAATTAGTCTTTTTAATTTCCTGTTTTATCTTACTCTGAGATTAACAATAATCAAAAAGAAACAATTGAAATTTCTGGGACATATAATGTGGAAAGAAGCCTTGGAGAATTTGATGCTCACAGGGCATACTGAAAGCAAAAGAGACAGAAGGAAATATCAAGTAACCTACCTCTTGAGCTTGTGTAAATGGATGGAAGAACAGGGAGTGGGAGGCATAGGAAAAACACAAACCTTGCTAAGAGCTACATAAGAATAAGAAGTTGTGGAGAGCCATGATCACCCATGCCCGAAACATACACGGCACATAGAAGATCCATTTTTTTTTTTTTTTTTTTTTTTTTAAATAACTGACCTTGAGCCTATATTCAGTCGATTACTGTTTATAACCACAGATATTTGGTCAGTATGTACATTTTAGATTGTCACTGCAAAATAGAAATTTCCTTAAATTATTAAATATGAATCACATGCTTCATTTTTGTGAATAAAGTATCAAATTTGGGCTGTGTTAATTTTTTAAAGTATTTTGTCAAAATAAAGACTGACAGTTTCAGCCCATCTTCTCAAGATGTAAGTTTGCCTTTTAAAGAAAAAGATTTAAACCAAAAAAAAAATTAAAACTTGAGAATAATTTAATCTTTTCTTTGTCTTCTTGACAAATTACTCAAAAGTAATTTGCAGGTAAGAATTGTGGTGAATGCTATAAAATTTTAGTCAATTCTTTTACAATAAAATTTGAACTGATTCATATTATCAAAAGACATTGAACTACATTTTAATTCAAAAATTTAAATACAATGTCAATTGTTATCTACTGTCTTCTTGATTACTCTTCTTCTATTGTTCTCACTCCTTAATAATTTTTTTCTCATTCTTTCACATTCAGTAACCCATTATGTCATAGTGGCTTTATGGAATAATACAGTAATTCCATCTACATTTTATGCGCGCGCGAGTTTTCCTCCCTTCCTTCCACACTTGTGCGCGTGTGCGCGCGTCCACTGATTACACCCCTTCCTCTCTCGTTAAGCTAAATATAGCAGTAAACCATTTCTTTTGTTTTAACTAGAGTAAGTTATTGTCGTTTTATCAGCTCCTGCTGATGTCACCAGTCTAACAGATTTAAATTACCGTTTTTTCCCGAGTTTTTTTTCTCTGACGTCACGGACAAACTAATCGTTTGAATTCAGTAGGGCTAAAAATTTCGATCCAAGAAGTTGACTCATTTATCCCTCGTCAGTTAACCATGATACAGACAGGGATATCTTATCGGCATTAATTCGTCGTCCCTTTTGGCTCGTCATAAGTAATTTTCATCAAGACGATGCAACCAACTACAAATAATTCTTCGTCCCTTTTGGTTCGTCATAAGTAATTTCCACCAAGACGGTGCAACTCACTACGAATAATTCTTCGTCCTTTTTGGTTCGTCATAAGTAATTTCACAAAGACGGTGCAACCAACTGCAAATAACTCTTCGTCCTTTTGGCTAGACGTCCACATCAATCCGATAAAATTTTCAGCAGTCAATTCAATGCCTGACCCCAAAATCTGAGGCGACTGAACTTTCTCACTACCTTGAACCTGAACATAAAAAAAGATAAAAAACACAAAAACACTACACACACTTACAATGCCCAAATCCACAGTAAGTACTTTTTTATCTGTGCACACCTACACCTCGTATTAACGAGTTCCTTTTCCAGAACTTTCCTTCATTTGGATAAAACCTTTTCCCGCCTTGTTCGCCTTGCTTTCCTATTTTGGCGCGGAACATTTTCTCTGATCTCGTACGACGAGATAACTTACTTGTTTTTTTTAATTTAATAAAAAATTACACTTGTTTTGCATCCAGACGCTTTCTGTCATTCTGTTCAGGCTATCTTTTTAATATTTTTAATTTATGCACGTGTGGATTAACCACATTCCTTCTCTGTTCGTTCACGCATTTTTTTTGTATACATTGTTTGTGGACTCGGTAGTTTAGTGTGGTGTCTGGCACAAGGCCACTTTGTAATAAACCAGCACTGCACCCTACCGGGTCTGCAACAGCTTTACTACCTTGTATGAGTGAAATGATTAAAAAGAAAAAAAAAAAGTAATAACCTTGAAAATATATTTATGGAAATAATGTAATTGATATTTTCTTAAATATTGTATTAATGATAACTTTTAAAAGCTTGTTTTACACTATGTATACCAACATCCTTTAAGATTTTAGGAACCATCTTTGTAATCCCTTGTCCTGCTTTAGCAAAGTTGGCAGTAGTATTCAATTGTTTGTAATATGTTTAATGGTTCTTTAACAACTAAGTTTGTGTTTTATTCTTTATTACAGGTGTTCCCGGTCAGCAACGAATGGTTAGATCAGGTGACAAAGTGATGATGTACAATTGGAACAGTGAAACTAATCAGTGGGACCTGTTGGGAGATGTGACTGGTTCCGGTTCTGATTCACATTCCTCAACAGGAAAGACTTTGTACCGAGGGAAGGTTAGTATGACCTGTTGCTGTTTGTTTCTCTATTAAGTCTTTGAATAAAGTATTTTCAGTTTTCCTGTTTATTATACAATACTAGAAAGAACCTCATGTTGCATGAGTTAGACATATATATGTGTGTGTGTGTGTGTGTGTTTTATGGCAATGATATCAAACTCGGGGCATATAAAGGGCCACATCAGCCATATCTGCATCCTCGAGGGCTACACCTGCTTACAGTCTTACATTAATCACAGCTAGTGGTAACTAAACTTTAAATACAAAATACTTACAGTACAAGGTAGTACAATTTATTCATTTTTATGTTGTCCTGATGATTGACATCACTTTAGACAAACTTTTCTTGATATATCAGGTTAGAATGTCTGTGTAGATCCCACTTTGATCAAAGATGTCGAATGTTCATCAGTTAATCTGGTTCTATGAGACATTTTTATGGCCTTCATAAACAAAAATAACTGCTCACAGACATATGTGGAACCAAACATCATCTTAATCTTTGTAGCAAACTTTCTGAAGTTCTTAAATGTCTGATGAAGGTATGAAAAAAATCTGGGTATCCCTAATTCTAGGTACTCTCCCTTGAGTGTTGAGTCACTCTGCATTTCCAGTAGTTCCATCTGTAGACTTTCCTTCTATCTGAGCAACATCAAAAGTGAACAGTTCTGAGAATAATGCAAACTGATCTTCACAAGATGAAAATATCATAAAATCTTTGTTGAAATTCCTTTGACAGCAATTCTGGGTAACTGTCATACTTAGCAAAGATAAATACAGAATCAGTATTGCCAGTTTTTTCAACTCCTTGCACATAGGAAAATGAATCAAGTTTTCATGTGAAAACTGGGACTTCAATAAAGCTAATTTTGCAATGAAACATTTGATCTCATTGTATAACTGAGTGATGAGCTTATTTTTATCTTGTAATTTCAAATTAAGGTCACTTAATTGGGTAGTAATATCCACTGAAAAATCTAGATCTTGGAGCCAACTTTCATCTTTCAATTCATCTGTGCTTTGACACTTCATTACCAAAAACATAATTTCGTGTAACAAAAAAAAAATCTTTTCAGTACCTTGTGCCATGGAAGCTACCAAACTTCTGTGTAGAATGGGACTTTTGTTCACGTCTTTCAATAACTGGCTAAACTGACAGTGATGTAGAGCATGACATCTGATATAGTTCACTGTTTTTATGACAAAACTCAACACATAATCTAATTTTAAAATCTTAGAACATAAGTTCTGTTGATGAATTATAGTGAAAATGCTTGAATATTGAATTTGGATATACGTTTTCTATTTTTGTACCTAACTTGGTAGCAATACCATTATGTCTCCCAACCATATTGGTAGCACGATCAGTAGATAAACACAAGTTTACTCAAATCAAGGCCATACTCATGGAGAAGCTGTTCAACTTTCTCAAAAATGTCCTGGCTTGTTGTAGTATTATGCATTGGGACCAGTTCAATTAGTTCTTCATAAATTTGAAATTCATTGTCACAAGCCCTGATGAAAACAGCGAGCTGTGCTATTCCAGCTATGTCAACAGTCTCATCTAGAGCAATAGAAAAATGTTCAAAACTTGATGATAAAGTCTTCAACTGTCAACTCAAATCACCTGCCATTTCATCAATCTGTTCAGCAACAGTGTTTCTGCTTAATGAAATGTCTTGAAATAAGTGTGACAATTTCAGCTGTTTTTACAAGATATCACTTTATGAAATCTCCTTGTCTGTAAGATTTTCCACTGATGGCAATCATTTTGCAGAGTTCAAAGCTTGCAGTAACAGAACTAACGTTGCCTTTCTGAATTTTTGTTAAAGCAACTCTGTTGCTGCATTAACTTAACCTTGAATTCCTTCACTTTTGAAACACGCATATATTCTACATATTTATCATAAGATGGATGGTTTGTTTCATTATGTCTTTTCACATTATATTCTTTTGGCATCGCAATGCAATGATTGCAAATCAAACAGTTTATCTTTCCATTAACAGTGATACAAAAGTACTTTAATTCCTACTTTTCTTGAAACACACGTCCTTCTTCAGATAATTTTCTCTTTTTACAAGATGGAGTAGAATTCAACATTTTTAAGGCAAAATATTACAAAATTACGAATGTTTTCACTTTACATTTGTTCTTATTAAGTTGTCAAGGATGATCACATGATTAACCAGAAGTTAAAAATAGTCACTGACATTCGAAAACAAAAAAGCATTGATATAGAATAAACAATCTAATCACACTAATTGAAAAAAAAATCTCACTGTTTTTAATAATTTGCATTATCAACATAGACAAAGGCCACTAGTTTGACACACCTGTTTTAAGGTATACTATATTTATGGGTTAAAGTACTGAGTATTGATGATAGAGCATATGTAAATATAAAATGTGGACACTGAAGTCAACACCTAGAGGCAACAGTCTGTTTCATGCTAAATGCAGTCATCAGGCCTGAAACAAACAGTCATCTCTGGGTGTTCATTGTTCAATGACCAAAGTATCTGATGAGACTTATTGGTCAAAATTATGATTTATTACCAAATTATTTATTACTCATAATTTATTACCAAATTATTTATTCAAATTATATTATTATTCTTTGATGAGACTTACTGGTTGAAATAAATCATGATTTATTACCATATTTTCATGATGTGTTAAGCTTTTCCTTGATATATACATGGCCTGGCGATTGCATATAGCATGAAACAGACTGTCGCCTCTAAGTGTTGACTTCTATGTTCACTTTTATATTTACACATGCTCTATCTCTGATATTGAGCACTTTATCCCATAAATATAGCACACCTTAAGACTATATTTCTTCATATATATATATATATAGGCAGCATGTCATTATTCAGGTATGTGTTGTTGAAAACTACAGAACTTTTCCATTTGATGATCTTTTTTTCAGTTTCTTCTTGCTTTCTCACAAGTTTTTTTAATTTTTGGGTCTAAGTTGTTAAAGTAGGAGCCCAGTCAATGGTTTTCTGCCGAACCCTTTTGGTTATTTTTAACCATCATTATGGCATATGTTTTGGTTTGAAAATCATTTGTATCTGTTTTTCTTTTTTCTTTCTTTCAGGAATATGATTATGTGTTTAGTGTAGATATTGACCCCAACCTCCCAGCTTTAAAACTGCCTTATAATTTGAATGAGGATCCATGGATGGCTGCTCACAACTTCCTGCAGACAAATGACCTTAGTCCGATGTTTCTTGACCAAGTGGCAAATTTCATTATCAATAACATCAAAGGAGCCAAATTGCAACAAGGAGATACCTCAGCCTTTTGTGATCCATTCACTGGTCTGTACTTATTAATATATTTTACTTTGTTTTTCCATGTAAATTGCAATGACTCACTTTCAGGTTCTATTTAATTCTTTACAGAAACATTTGTCTCTTAATATTTACTATGTCAAGCTCTCTTTACAATATGCTTAGATTCATTTCTACCAAATTTATCTTAGCATTACAAAATCCTCTTTTAACTTAAAAATATGAATATTTATGCATTCCTCTTTCAAGTTACCAAGAGACCTGAAAAAGAACTACTGAGTAAATGAAATATCTTGAATATTGGACACTCTTGCCTTGCTGTTTCAAATAAGTTTGTAATAAATTATAGACATATATATGTGATCTCTGAGATGAGGAATTTGTCAGTAAACTTGTATGACTTATTTGAACTATTATTCTCATCTTTGATTATTGTAAATGTTGTTTTATTTTTATATATATAATATATATGACATTTCAGCCAGAAACCCTCTGGCTATCTTCAGGTGTACTTTATTTTGGCAGATATGAGGACATCTTGTATATGCTATTATTTTTATCCATTTCATATCATTTGTTTTTCATTTCTGGATCAGGTAGTGAAATCCATATACTCTGGTTTGGTAAGAACAAACAAGAAATAACATAAGAGAAACAAAAATATCTCATATCAGCTAAAATAATGGACACCTGAAGATGGCCAGAGGAAATTTGGCTGAAACTTCTATAACATTTTTAACAATCAAAAATGGGAACAATAATTCACATAAATCAAATATCTGTTGAGAATTTCTTTTTAATATCTAGTTTGATGTTGTCTAACTGTTGGGGTTGAGATGCTATAAGCCTACATGTATTGATTTATTTGAATCTAATTAGATAACAAGTATAAAATTTAAATCCTATATCTATGAAGATATGTATATTTTTAACTATAATAACTGAATATTTAGAGAAAAAATGTGCTGTCAATTACTTTTAGACCATACGTACATGAAAGAAAATCCCTAAAAATAGTTGCTAGGTAATCTATCTCTACTGATCTTATTTACAGGAATATAAGGTATTTTGGATAATGTTATTGCATTATTATAATGTTTTTTTATAAGAATTTTGCCCCAAGTAAGGTGGGAATGCCACTAGTACATAAGGGATTACAGAAAGTGAAAGTAAGAGAAAAGACTGGGTATAGTGAGGATTGAGGAAAGGATAAAAAGAATGGAGAAAAATAAAAAGAATAATGATCAAAGCATCAGATGTTAATTGACATTACATTTAAATTTTTGAAGATTATAGCTGTCAGGAAAACATGTAAGAGGAATGGAGTTCCACTGTCAGGAAGTGCGAGAGAAGAAGCTGTTGGAGTAGAAGATGCAGTTACATTTAACTGTTTCGTCAGTAAAAGTGTGGGACCAAGTTGCCAACCTAGTAGCATGCTTAAATTCATGCAGTCGAGGCACCAGTGAAAATACCTCATCAGAGCAGATGCCAAGAAAATAGTTGTAGAAAAGACAGAGGGAAGCCACATCATGTCTGTGAGAAAGTAACTGGAGTTAAGATCCCAAGTCAGGACCGATCACATTGCATATCCTATCTTTGGATTTTGTCAAGAACCTAAAGATGAACAGCGGGGACACCAGACCATATTGTATAAGTGAAAGCTTTGTAGGAAATTAGTGTTGTAAACATGCATTTTTGCTATTATCAAACTTTTACTTTTTGAAATGAATCTTTTCAAAAAGCTGAAACTATCAATTATATTCTTTAGACATGCATCTTTCTTTGTTTTTCATTTGTACCCCAAAATTGAATCACAAGCTTCTAAAAGAAAACTCATTTTTTGTTTTTTGACATATGAGAAACACTCCAAATTCCTTTTATTTATTTCCATGGAAATTACAACAGATACAGCAATCACAATAACACTGTTGGATAAAACAAGTTTTCAGCTGTAAAATACTGTTTTTCCACATAATCATTACCACTGACTCAGTAGTTTCATCTTCAGCAATGAAAAAGAGTTCTTCCTTTCATAGACTGACAGCTATGCAAGGCCATTTGGAATGTAGGCTGTCACACATATCACTGTTACCACTTCTAAAACACATTATCTGATGTCTAACTCTTTGATCTTTTTAAACTTTCAGCAAACATCAATGAATGGATGCAATTTTTTCCACATGGAGGAATTCAATTCAAGCACTTCTGCTTGATATGAACATGCACTTTCATATCAGACAACATTTTGAAAGTTTGATATTCAGTTACTATCTGTAATAAAACAAAAAAGAAAAGTGTTATTTGCAGGAAGGTTTCAGCTTCTTTGCTCAATACCACCAGCATCTGCCTCTGATATTGCAGGTATACTTAATAAAACAAAAGGCATTACTTTCAGGGCAACTGTTATAATAATAATTTTTATATTCTTATTTATCATAATTACCATTTTTACATTCTTATTTGTCTTGCCTTTCAGGAACTTCACGTTACATACCAGGTAACCAACCTGTGAATACTGATTCTAATAATACAGCTACTCAGAATGAATACACTTCTAAGCCTACAGCTAATGAACCCACCGGTATGTTGACAGAATTTTTTTTTTATGCTAGTGCTAACAGTTAATGCTGTGGGCAATGATCAGAATCACTTGTCCCTTGTCATGATGAACTAGCAAAGTACCCAACAAAAATAAGATTATTTATTCACTGATCAGCACTTTTTTTCCATTTTTTTAATCATTTCAACCCAAGCAAGGCAATAAAGCTACTAAGACACAATGGGATTACTGGGTGTGAGAAAATAAGAGAAAAAAATTAAGGAGAAAGAACAATAAAAGTACAAGAATTAAGAAAACACAAGATAATGATTGACATTGCATTTAAATTTTTGAATATCAAAGTTGACTAGAAAGCAAAAAATCAGAAGAGTTCCACAAGCGAGAAGTGTGATAGAAAAAACTGTTACCATAGAACTTACAGTTACATCTAGCCATTTTAACTGTAAAATGATGAGATCTGGCTACTAATCTGCTACTGTGTTTAAATTCATAAAGCCTATGTACCATAGAGGAAAATTTATCAGAACAATTATCTTGAAAATATTTATAGAAAAGGCACAGGAAAGCTACATTAGAGCAGTAGGAAATTGATTGAAACTGAGATGCCAGGTCAGGACCAATAATATTGCAGATTCTTCTTTATATTTTATCAAGAATCTCTAAATACATAGCAGGAGCACCAGACCAGATGTGGCAGCAATATACAATGCATGGATGAATGATAGACTTATAAATGTATAAGATAGATTCTGGAGAGGAAAATTGTCTAACACGACACAAAGAACTGACTTTCCTAGCAGAAAAACTAGCAGTTGATTCAATATATTCTTTCCACTTAATGTCAGTAGAAAACGTTAACTGGAGAAGGTACAATGAGTCACTTGCCTGAAGGTGAGCATCAGCCATGAATGATGACTAGGCTATCTGTACTCTCTGCCTGATATCAGAGTATCATTTCAGTAATTTTGCTGAGGACCAGTTAATATTTCTTCTTTTGATGCATGACTCTCACTTGACAGAGATAGTCAGGTAGAAACTAGTATTAATACACTAATATATCAAAAGTCATGGGATAAGTGCTTAGTATCATTTACGATCACCACTGTAGTCTGGCAAAGTGCAGCAACTAGAAGTGGCATCAATTATACAAGTGATTGAAAGTATCCAGAATATTTCTCTAACCTATTCTATCTTATTATCTTTCTGAAATAAGACATAGAGAGAGAGAGAGAGAGAGAGAGTGCAGTCACTAGTAAATGACAAATATATAGGTGCACCAGGAGGCCCAACCCATGCTATGTAAACACTTCCTCCATTATTATAGATTCAGCCTTAACAGTGCTTTGTTGACAACTAGATTCATGATTTCATGGAATCTGTGCCACACCTAAACTTTGCCATCAGTCTGAAATGACTGAAACCATGACTCATTAGATCACACCATATATTACTAGTCCTCTAGAGCCCAATTAGTAATGTCTTGAGCCCAGGTAAGCACCGTGGCCAATGCAGTGGTGCTAAGAATTACCTTGGTGAGTCTTCTGTTCTTATATCCCATAAAAGCTAAAGAACATGGAACTGAACTGTTGAATATGCATGTGGTACCTTCTGCATCTTCTTTGTTCATAATTATTAAAGACCTGTGTTCAGTTGCTAATATATGGCATTTCATTATGTATTCCTGGTACACATGTACTATCATAGATTGAGAGATATCAAATGTTCCTACAATTTCAGGAATGGAATGTCCCATTTGTCTCTAAATGGAACAGCCCTGTTCAAACTCTAATAATTCATGTCACCTTACATTGAGCAGCCTAGCCAATGTTCAACTGGTTCACCACATCTCAGTTTATGGTCACATCATGTTAAAACAGAGGTTCCTATATGATTACCAAAGTTAAGCAATAACAAGCCTGGTCAGTACCTAGATGGATAACCACTTAGTACTACCAGCTTGGGTGCATGGGTGGTGTAAAGGACAATGGCTCAGAATTGTTAATCAGAGAGCAGAGTTCCAATTCTTGTTGGGTTTATTATATTCACTTACATGCAAATACCCTTAGGAAAGGTATGAATCCACTTCTCTCCCCCAGCTATGGGTTAATTAGTAAGACGTGTCAGTAAACCACTATGATCTCAAAAAAAAATTCTTACAATCTAAAAATATTTTCTGGCTTTAAATAACCTGCAAAGGGTTGATAAGCCATAGAAATCAAATCATCAAACGTCAGAGTACCAATGATATATGTCTAGGCATTTTCATGACATCAGGGCGTGGTGGCACTACCTGCCATTACCCTTATGTACTATAACTTTACATACTTTTGGCATGTCAGTGTAGATAGATTCTGAAGCAATTATTGTTGACTAGGAAAATAACTCATTTTCTGGGAGTTAATAAATAATAGATTGTACAAACTTTTCCCATTGTATGTTTTTTCAAACTTTACTAAAGTAAGCAAACTTTATAATATCACAATGGCTAAATGAAGTTGAAGACATTACCACTTCTCATTTAAATTTATTTGATAATCTTAATTTAATACTATTCATTTATTATTTTTCAAAGTGTATATTTAACTACTGCTATATTTTTTTCCATTTCTACAAATGCTTTTTGAAATCAGTTTAATGAGTTTGTTGTTGTTAATATTCTAGGCTTACAACTGACAAGAGATGTAACATATCTGTTTTCAATTTCAAGTTCACTGCATTTCATGACTGAACCAAACTCACCAGGTGCAAATATACCGCAATATAAAACCAAAATGGAAATAATAATATTTGTGGGAACCAGGAAAATTTCACAGCTTTTCAATTATGACATTTATAAATATTTATAGTTAGCCGTAATAATTTTGTTAAAGTGATTCATTACGAAAAGAATGTATGTATGTATGTATGTATGTATGTATAAGCATGTATAAACATTTTAGTATGAAAAATGTCAATGTTAAATATAAAAGTAAATGTTAGAACTACAAATTAGGTCTTCTGGTTTCAGAAGCTGTGATGTAAAACATGCTCACTTTGGCAAACATGGACAAACATGCTCACAATAAGATATAGTTTCAAAAGGATGTTTTTTCACATGATATTGCTTTTTTAACTACTTTCACTCTTTGGCAATTTTAAAAAGTAATGATTAGAATTGTCTCCGCTAAAGATTTTATCATTTTGAATTTCATAAAATAAGTGCTTTTTTTTCATAAGATTCAAACCTATAATCATCTGTATTTAACAGATATCACTCTATGATTATAACCATTCCAGACAATGGAAATAAATTATAGATTTCAGAACAGTCTATCTCATTCAATTTCAAGGCAGGATGCTTTATTCCCCAAATTGCTGTTACATTAAATCTTTTTTCTTTTTTTTGTCTTTTTTGATCTTCAGCTAAACCTGAGGCTGCTTGCTACTTCCCCATGCTAACCTACCTCACTATAGATACTGCAAATGTAAAACAAATTATAGGTAAGTATGATATGTGACTTTGTTATATTCATTCTTTCAATTACAATCATAGAAGCTCCTTTTTTAAAATGCAAAACTAAGAATTATTTTTTCAATAATATATCTCAGTTTACCTCTGGCTTTCTTTAGATCTCAACTGAAAGAAAAAAATCTGTACATCTCTTTCCACAGTTTTTTAGTTAGTTTTACAGTTACTCTGGAATCATTGAGATGTTAAAAATCTTGAGCCTAAAAGATCAATATAGATAATGATTTTCTGTAAGACTTCAAATTTCTTCACTGATTATTTTATTATAAAAGAATGGAGAATAATTGTTAGAAATGCTGAGATTCTAAATTAGAAATGAATCCTATTGCATACTTGATGAAGTTCTTTGTTTTATTGATTACTTTTTTCTTTTCTTTTTTATCTTTTCACTTTTTTTGTAAGACAAAAAAGCCACTAACATACTATTGAACATGAAAGAATATAAAAAAAAAACATTAAGGGGCAAGAACAGTAAAAGAACAGAAATTAAGAAGACAGAAGATAACGATTGACATTGCATTTAAATTTTTGAAGATCAAAGTTAACTGGGAAGCAAGAAGCCGGATGAGTCCTACAAGTGAGAAGTGCAATAGAAGAAACTATTAACATAGAACTTACATTTAGCCATTTCATCTGTAAAATGATGAGATCATGCTGCAAATCTAGTACTGTGCTTAAATTCATAGTCTAGGTACCTAAAAACCCAACTTGAATAACTATTTGTCACAAAAGACCTGCCATTATTTGACAGTACTTTATAGTTGGTCTAGTTTAATTTTTACTTCTTTGGTTTTAGATGACTGGCAATTGAACTGATATTCTTGTTTTGCAACTAGGTTTTAAGCCAAGATTATTCTTCACTTGGTACGTGTTCATTTGTGGATTTGTGTTTGCATGGCTAGGGATTTTTAGTTTTATGCCTTTCTCAGAGACATTATAGAGCTGATGTATCTAACAACTGATGGTTTGGTTTGAAATACAACCATTAAGAATCAAGGTTCTAAAATCTTCATAAGCCCCCAACTATTTCCTTCTCATTAATTATGTTTAACAATAATTTTACTTGTGTTTGAATGAGAATACAATATAACTGATCACTAGTGTTTATGTACTTCAGGCATCTATTGAGGTTTGTTAATATTTATCTAAATTTGTTGATATTGTTGTGGGGCCAATAAAGGATGTCAACCCCACAAGCTAATTTGCGTTCAAAGAAAGGTGTGAACAGCCGAGACAATGATGTGACAAAAGCCGAAGGTTTATATGTTAACCAGCTGTCAGTTTTTATTGCATTAAAACGATGTGCATTTTTTTTATACATCAAAAGTAGGAAAAGATTAGCTGGATGAAATGTCAGGTTTGGTTAGACTGGTCAGGTAATCTTCAATGAAGGCATTGGTAGGTAAGTTGATCATCAGTTGGTTGATTGGCCGGTTTCAGGGCCAGGTAATGGAAGTGTAGACAGACTGGACGTGTCGATGACGAGAAGTCGGTGTGCGGTTGTTCCAGTCATGTTGATGGTCAGACTGGACATGTTGATGATGAGAAGTTAATGTGCAGGTGTTCTGGTCATGTTGACAACAGGACATTGAGGTACAGGCGTTCCATATGTGTCAATGGTCAGACGGGATTTGTTAACAACTGGACATTGGTGTGCGGGCGCTCCAGTCATGTCGAGAGTCGGACTGGGTGTGTTGATGACGGGAAATTGAGGTGTGGTCATTCCGGTCATGTCAGCGATATCTATTTATCTATCTAAATTTGTCTATATCTATCAGTTCTATATCTCTCTACATTTGTTCATATCTCACTGTCTGTCTGTCTCTACATTTGTTCATATCTGTCTGTCTATTTTTGTTCATATCTATCTATTTTTGTCTATATATATCTATCATGAGATGTTGAATGATATTTTTACTTTTTTTAAAATTCTCATAACAATACATGGTATCAGGTTATTATATAAGTACCATTCAGAATTTGATAGCGAGAGGTTGGATGATATTTTTGCTGTTCTAAAATCCCTAATTGATAACAATATGTGCTCCCAGGTCACCCATAAGTAATGTCTGAAAACTAATAACAATAAATTGAGATTTTTATTTTTCTAAGAGACCTAAATGACAACAATGCATACCAATACATGTAGGTACATTTTTAAGTAATATTTTAAATTATTACAGTTTTTTGGTATGTGATTAGATTGCATTTGTATGGTCCACTTTGAGCTGCTACCAGTCATTGTTATCATTGAAGCTGTTGGTGCATTTCAACAATCCTTTGAAAGAAAATATGTAGCAACTGATACAATACTTTGTCTGATTTGCTGTACAGAAATAAAGTCCAAAATGAATTTCACTATTGTCTTTATCTTTTCATAGATAATAAATTATTTCTATTGTATTCAGATGTTACTCTGTGGCTGTTTATTTGTAGGTCAGAATCAGTGCAGCCATATCTAAATAGATATGCGAGTAAGAGAAGCAAGAGAATACAATTGCTCAACCTGTATCTTTACTTACTTAACCTGATAACATAATGTAAATAGATAATGGTTTTATTCATTATATTGAGAGAACTATTGTATTTCTTTTAACATTTTAATTTCTTGAATGAAGTTGATTTATAAGCATTTAAAGCAAGTAGTGTCATTTAAATTATACTGCATTTGTTTCTCTTTAGATAAGTTATCAGAGTTCAACGAGAAAGTTGGTGACCCTTTTCAAGTCCATACGACTGTCTTTCCGGGACTATCCGAATTAATTGCTGGAAAGGAAACTGTAAGCAGTATGTCAACTTTGAAGCAACTGCTAAAATGGCCCAAAGGTATGTATTCTAATAACAGTAATAAAATAAAAAAAAAAATTAAAAATAAACAAAAGTGAATTAATTTTGCTTCAAGGTCTTTATACATCTTTTGGTACTGATAGACATTTGCCCACTAAAACCAAAACATTTCTCAAAGAATTCACTAGATCAAAACCAATTACTTGTATTATTGATGGATTACAGTTCTCTTAAGTCACCAATCATATATTCAGTTGCTTCCCTGAGTGTCACTTTATACAAATTAGTTATGATTTTAAAGTAAGCTCAAACTACATCTCTCTCTCGTTTTCTTTTCGTTTTTAATTATGAGGTAGGTATATTTTAACTATATTTGAGGTTATTTTCTATATTGGAATTAGATTTTGGTCAGGAATTCCTTTGTATAAAATGGGTTACATCTATAGCAGATTTTTTGCTGAAAAAATGTATCAATCTAAATAAGGTGGAAATTACCTTCTTATTATTCTCCCACTTGAAGAAAAAAGTGTTAAATTCATAAAGGTAGAAAAAAAAAATTAAAAAATTGAAAAAAGATGTTTTAAGTAAATAACATTATTATAACTTTCCAGTTGTACAAAAATAATTGCTGAAATGTAATGAAGTTGATGCAAAAATTCCCAGCATCACCTTTTGCACAAATTGGGAAAATCTTAAAGGTGTCTTTGAAATTTACTGATCACGTTATTACTTGTGTAAATACTCAACTGTAGTATGTCATTTATCAGCCGTAGGAATAATATTGAAGCTGATGGGTTCTACATGAATTTTGGGGAACAAACATTGATTAGCATTATAGTACTTGTCATCTTCTTACTGGTTGACACAAAAAACATTTTTAGATAGTCACTTGTGATGAAAGATGGATTTATTATGAAAATATAACATTAATAAAATCCTGGCTACACCAAGGACAGTACCTTAACTTAAATGGAATCTACCGGAGATAAAAAAAAAAAGAGTTTCTTTTTTATGCTTGGTGGTATTCAAAAAGAATTCTTTAGGACAAATTAAGGAACAAGGACAAACTAACATTCCACAGCTTTATAGTGAACAATTTACTTGTTTGAAGCATTGGAAGAGAAAAGGCTTTGTACTGATCAAGAAAGTTGACTGGTGATTTTACTGTATGTCATTTGCCAAGTTGCAAATGCAACAGACAAATTATCCTGAAACAGTAGATTCTCAAAACTTGTCACTTTGATACTCTGATTTGTTTCATTCTATACAACACTTTATCAGCATTTCCACCAAGTTGAAAATATTTTAAAGTTTCTCAAAGAATTCCCCAGATCAAAACCAAAGTCATTCTTTTATGAGTTGAGTAAGGTCAGGAAATATACTTTGACAACTGAATAAGGACGCTATGAATTTATTTGAATAAAAGTTTTAGTCAAAAAAAAAAGAAAAAAAAAACTTTTGCACTTTCCTAATATTAGTATACTAGCTTAAAAACTGCACTCTGTGTGGACTTTGAAGCTAGCTCCTGCAAAGAGCTAATTGGCCCTCTGGCCCCAAAATAAAGAGATCTCTAGTCCAGCTTAAAATACAGCAATGATAATTTTGAAGAAATAACTTTTAATTCCTAAATTTATTCTATGGAACTTTAATTCCAGCCAAAAGATTGATTTTGGGTTGAAATTCCAATTCAAGGCAAAAATTGAGTTCTTCAAATCACTAAATCTGCAGAACTTCAAAACTTCATGTCACGAAACCTCTCACTTTAACTGTGATTCCTTGGCATTTTGAAGAAATGTAATTGATTTCCTCAATTCACAAAGTTCTGGAAATATTTTAAACTAAATTAAAAAAAATTCCACTTACCAAATTTTTTTGTCACTTTAAACTCAGTATAAATTAAAAATTTATAATTTTTTTCAGTTAAAAATTTATAATAATGTTTTTCAATTATTTTAAAATTTGAATTTTTAACTGTTCCCTTCTCATCTGGGAACAAATCCCAATGCTGAATGTTCAAGCACCAGATGGAGGGCAAATTTTCAATCCCAGGATAATCCTGATTCCAAAAATGTCTATGTAGAGCAAGTGTGGCCCAAGTTAGAGGACAGATAGAATTTGCCATATATTTAGAAGATGAAGTAATGAGTTTTGTTGAAAACTAAGGAATAGAGAAGAGATAGCAAAAAATGTTTAAAAATATTTAAATTGGCCAAATGGAAAGAAACAAATCAAGAAAATAACTTCACACAGTCTCATACTTAAAGAGGGTAAGAATTGTCACATTTCAAAAATGAGCATAGGTAGACTAAAACTGGTGTCAAATACTTGCAAAATCCTAATTGCACTTTTAGCTGTGTAGTGATGAAGTGAACAATTCACTAATGGAGGAAAGAAATTGTCTAGGTCTTATTTAGATTTAACCTGAACCATCAGAAAATCACTTTTTAATCACTTAATGTTCAGAGAAATCAACAGGCAATTGAAATGGTGTGTTTGTGTGTGAATATTGACATGCCGTAAGTTTAGTATCTTAGTGGCAACTCCTTAGCCTGACAAAGTGCAGCAATACAACATGGTATTGATTCCACAAATGGTCAGAACACCTCTAGAGAGATGTTGAGTCATACTATCTCAATAGTTGTCCACAATTCTCTGATGTCTGTAGGTTCAGGATCTTGCATGCAAATAGACCTCCACATCACATCCCAGAAATGCTCATGTGAGCTAATGAAACATCTGTTGTAGGTCTTTGGAATGCTTCACACACCAATTCTGAGCAACTTAGACCTAATCACAATGCATTATCATGCTGGAATAACCTACTTTTATTGTGATATGTTATGTCTGTGGATAGCTACAGATAGTCATAAAACAATAAACATTTCAGTCAACAATGATGTGTTTAAACAGACCAGCAGACCCTACACATGCTATTTAAACACACCCAACACTATTATGTAACCATCACCATCCTGAACAGTGCTTTATTGACTACTAGAGTCTGAACACTACCATAGCCCAAAACAACTGGAACTATGACATTTCAGACCATGCTACATATTGAAAGTTCATAAGCCCAAGGGAGGCACTGTATTTGGTGTTGTGGTGATAACAGGAGCACCCTGGTTGGTCTTCTGCTCCCATAACCCATGGAAGCTAAAGAATAGTGAACTGGCTTGCTGGATATTCTTGTGAGACATTCTGCATTGGATATGAATGCAATTTGAACTACTGACCCTTGCCTATTACCACAGACTATTATAAACACACACATCTGTTTACAATCATAATTAAGGGCCCACAGTAGGTATTTTTAGTATACGTGTGACTCTGCAATTTGATAAAACTATGAAAGACTCTTTTCCTTTCCTGAAGTGTGTATACATTTTTGGTGGGCTTTCTAATATATATATATATATATATATATATATATATATATATATATATAATGAAAAAGCTTATCCTTACTCTGTCCTGGACATTGAGTTCTACCTGGATTCTATACTCTTGGAATTATTTTTATACAAATATATATATATATATATATATATAAAAGCCATGATGCTAGTAATTGTACACTGGATAACTGCATTATCACAATAAAGAAGAGTGCATAACAATAAAATTACCACATTCTATTCGGGTATATAAAATTATCGCCATGAAACCTCCACAGTTTTTTGAACAGGTGTAGAAGTTTATCCCTTGTTTCCTGTTTAAGATTGGGTATCCAATTCCTTCTAAAGTTTTTTTCATTCTCTTTCCTCCCAATAGCCCTTTACATCTTACTGACATTATCACCTTGCTTGGCTAAAAAAAAATATATATATATATATATATATATATATATATATATATATATAAAAGAACACAAAATCTCAAGCTTATTATTTGCAAAGAATAAATCATATACAGTGAAATACATCATTATTTGTGTACATACTCAGATTTGCATAATGGATATCCTGGCTATCAGGGCAATGAATTTAATTTCTCTTGTAGATTCAACTTCATTCTGACTTGTACTTTGGTTGGTTTCCTCATAACTGATATTGTTATCTGATGCATTCAGGTTGTCAGGAGTTAAGACTGGGTCCTGAAGTTCAGACAAGCTCTTTCATAAATGATTTGCTAGGTTTACATCTCAAAGTGACATTGTTATCTCCTTGCCATTACCAGGATGGATATTGGCATAAAGAGAATTTGCCTCAAATAATTATCATACTTTGATTGTCAAATATGATACCTCAAAAGGACAATTCCGGATAAGATCAACTACACTGAAATAGAGCATCCAATAGGTCAGTGGTTCTCAAATGGTGTGGTGCACCTCAATAATTGAAAGACAATCAAAGATTTAGAAACAGTTTTAAAAATTCATATGCCAAAAATAAATGATTTCAAAATTTAAAATATTATGAATTGGTTGTAATTGCATACATGAGTCCCAGTATAAATAATTATTGACCGATTTTATCATTGTGATATTTTTGCATTATATAAAGTATTAAAAATATAGTAACTAGGCTCCACAAATTGGAGGAGAGAGTTATCAATGATAATGTTCTGACTTTGAATCCATAGTTATCTCTTTTTAACCCACTTTCTCTTTTTTTTATTTTAAATATACTTTTAATCACATAAAATTTGGTAAGTCACAAGCAAATTTTAATTCCAAAAATATGACCCAGTAAAAAAAAAAAAAAAGTTTGGGAACCACTGCACTAGCCAATCAGCATTGGAAATTAATTATTCATGTAGAGTAGTGATAGTAATGGTTGATAACAGAGTTTATATTGAATGCAATGCATTCTGTAGTACAAAGTCTCAATGAGTCATAGACAGACATTGTGACTTGAGTACCTATCATATAATTTCATTATACCATTCACAATGCTTATTTCCTCATAGATTATTCAGTTTTCTGGTTTGTGGGAATCCCATGGTATTGCAAAATATTTCTGACATCTGATAACATGAAAGAAAAAAGAAATACATGTCTTCTGAGTATGAATGCAGCTATGCCAAAAAGAACAAATGGCTGAAGCAATGGATCAGTTTAAGTTGTCATATTCGAACGAGAAAAAGAGAAAGGGTTTTTAAAATCAAATCTAAGTCTCCCAAATGATACAAAGTTGCTTTGATCAAGAGAGATGCACCATTATTCTTGTATTATTTCAAACTATTGTTTTCATTATTTAAACTATTTATATTCAGATTATTGTCCTCATTTTTGTTGTTATCACTACATTTCAGCCATTGTACCCTACTTGTACTCCTGAGGAAGGCCAGAGGATACAACAGCCAAAATGTAATGATAGCAACAACAAAGATGAGGACAATAATCTGAATATAAATAGTGTAAATAATAACTCCTCATCCCAGAAATTCAGACAAAAATTATTATTCTCATCTTGATTGTTATAGATGTTATTATAAACACTGCATTTCATCAAAGTAGCCTCTGGTCATCATATTACAAGGACAAAATATCAATAATCAACAAATACCCCATATCAACCAATCAATGGACACCTGATGATGACCAGAGGGTACTTGGCTAAAACATTGTATCCATAACAACATCTATATCAGCCAAGATGAGAATAATAGTTTAAAATAATACAAGAATATTGACAATTACTCATCGCAGAAATAAAATATTAAATTATAAAAAGAAGTATGAACTCGCCATAAAAAAACACCTGACATTGAATATAAAAGGCACCAAAAATACTCTGAGGCTGTGGTGTAGTGAATATAGGAGTTGGTTATATATGTGTTTCTGTCATCTAGTGGTCAATGTTTGGGTATGGTAGTAACACTAATTCAGCAGGAACAAACAATAACTGATACCATAGGGGCAAACTATCACAATAATCAACAGATATTCTATATCAGCCAATCAATGGACACCTGATGATGACCAGAGGGTACTTGGCCAAAACATTGTGTCTATAATAACATCTGTATCAACCAAGCTAAGAACAATAGTTTGAAATAATACAAGAATATTGACAAGTACTCATCTCAGAAATGAAATACTAAGAGACACCAGATGAATCTGATTTGTGCTCAGCAAAAATGGAACATCAGTTTGAAAACCGCTTTAGATTCTCAACAGAGAATGGTAAGTTCTTTGTTGTAATAAAATGTAATATAGGTGGTTAACACCCGGGTGACAGTTATACAGTTTAACACTAACATTAAAACTAACAACAGAACAGTATGCTCTGTACAAAGCATTTGCTATAATCTCATCTAAGTACTTTATGTCAAAGCTGTAGCAAGCAAGTTCAGTCCTTCATCTCTGAATGTTATCCTTTTTAATTTTACTAGTCTTTAAACATACTAGTAAAATAATTATAATCATCACTGATTTCTTATCGTTAAGAAGGGTAATGTCCCCACTATCGTATATACCCCCTTTTTCTATTGTTGAGCGTTTTTGTACACTAGTATTTAATGCTCTTGACCAATTTGATTTAAGCTTGCAGTGATGGCATGATCAGATGCATCTGTCTCTACAACAAGAATTGTTTCACCAATAGAATGTACTATGGCATTTTCCACCTCAGCATTCCAATACCTTTTTCCATCTCAGCACTCCAATGCCTTTTTTCAGCCATGTTGAGTAGTGGATATGTTTTAACTTAAATAATAGGTGAAATCTCTTCAGTCATCGGCAATCCAATAGGAATAATAAGAGAACCTATCTATAGCACAACATAATGAATTTATGTCCTGAAGAAGACAAAGTTGTTTTAGTCTTTTAGGATCAAGTTTTATCCTCAGAAATAGTATAAACCCAGGAGATGCATGGATGTTGCAGAGGGCCATGTACATTTAGCATGATTTCATGTCAAGTTAAATTTCTGAACAATCTCATTAAATCACCTGAGATTAATGTTAAGTCCTTTCTTACTTTTCTCATAAACAGTTTTATATGATCTAGGTAAGCAAACCTATCGGAAAGAGTTGTCAATAATAAATTTGTCTAGAATGTACTGAAAGCAATCAATACCATTGGTTACTCCAAATGGAATCCAGCAGAATTGGTACAGCTGAATTCAGAACTCAAAAGCCATGTGAAGCTTGTCTTCATCAAATATTAGGATTTAATGGAAGGCATATTTCAAGTCAGTTATACTAAAGAATTGATGTGCTACAGTGTTTATCAAATTGCCAATATTTAATAGGGAGTTAAGCATCTACCAGTGTAAAATCGTTTACAACAATGTATCTTGAAGCAACAAAAAAAGAAAACACAACTAGAAGCCACAACCCCCACCCCAAAAAACTGTTTTACTATAACCAATAAAATCATCCGATTGAAGTTCTTATCCTTTCTCTTTTAAATCATTCTTCACAAGTTTAAATCACTTTACTTGATGGTCAACATAAGTACACAATGAATGTTTCTTTCTGTTGCTTTGACCGCTGATACTTGTAAGGAACATTTACTATGACATTTATTGTTCTAGCAAGAGTTATCTTCTCCTTGTTAACAAAGAAACGTTTTAAAGATGACATTTCTACCTGTTGAAGCTAATTCTTAAACTTTAGAAATGTTATTTTTTATCTTTATATTTAAATTCTACTTTTTAAATTTGAAAAAAATATTTGGGGATTATATAAAACATTGATAATTAATATAAATAAGCTAACATTAAAACTTTTAATTTATGATTTTTGTCTTATATATTTATTTCTGAATATTATGAAAAAAGGACTGATTTTGAGATGGAATAAGCCAACAAGAGTTATTTAATCTCATAAAATAAACCAACTAAATTGTTCATGCAGGTTTGCTTGAAGATCAACAAAAGTTTCTTATTTAAAATGTTTTATTTAATTTTTATTTGCTTTGGACCATTTTCCTAGTTTCTGGACAGAATTTGAAAATAAACTGTCTAATGTCTTCTGAGCACTTTCATCAGCCATTATAAAAGATTGTTTTGCAGGTCAATAAGGTTATGTCTATAGATATAATAGATAGATATAGGTATGCATTGTACTCCATTGGTGGGTTTCAAATATCATATTTTCATGCATCAGTGGGTGGTTGTGTCAGGTGTTTTTCAAGTATGATTTTTTATGTCAGTTTATGGTGTCCTATGTGTTTGTTTTTTTAATATAGTTAAGATGTTGCTTCCTAAACTGAATGAAGCTATATTGATGCTAAATTGTTTTTCTTTTGTAGTTTAGCTTCTAATATTGGTAGTCTTATTTTTTCTTTTCTTTTTTTTTTCACAATTTGTATATAAATACACCTGCTTCAGGATGAGTTTAGTATCAGTTGTGTTTTGTTTATTTCACTTAAAATTTGTTCTTTTTTTTCCAGAATTCCATAAACTATATATGAAATTCATCTTTTTTCATTTTTTTCATTTTAGAATACATCTTTCCTGCTTTAGATGTTTTAAGGATTTCAATCAAGTATCCACAAACCAATGACTACTTCTGTTCTCATGGAAATAGTAAAGAACTTCTTGACTTTCTAATGGGATTCATCTGCGATCAGACAGCTACCACTGCCAACAAATTGCTCTCCTTGCGTATCCTCTGCAATATGTTCGCTCAAAAGGACAGTGAAGAAGCTTGCATTGGTGAAAAGGATTCCATCTTGTCAGGAATGAGAAACTGTAGCAATGGTGCTACCAAGAGCATTCAGGTGGCCATGGCAACACTGCTCTTGAATTATTCTGTTGTGTTCTGCCAAAAAAATGATACTGAAGGTAAATCTCAATGCATGACCATTACAAAAGAACTACTTGAAAAAGGGAATCTGGATCAGGAGGCCATATTCCGCCTGTTAGTGATGCTTGGAAATTTGGTTCATAATGATGAAGTTGCTGTAGCAATTGGACAGTCTTTAGGGTTAGAAAAATACATCAAGGATTCCATGGATGGCACCACAAATATTGAAAAGGTCAGCACTTGTGCCAATTCTTTAATGAATGTCATGAAGGTTTCCTGAAATATCTTCTTCATACCATATATCATATTTGTTCTTTTTTTTCTGCTCCGGATGCAAAATTAAAAAGAAATAGTTAAATTCCTTATATTTATTGCTATTGGCATATATTAAAGAATTAAACAATATTTTGCAAAAAAAAATGAAATAAATAAAATGTAAGCTGCTCAATATTTGATTAGTAAGCTTTTGTTTTGTTTTTATATTTGTCTATACTGATTGAGTAAAAAGAAAATTCTCTTTATTACCTCCCTTATGTTGTCTCACTGTAAGCGAGTTTGTTAATTGTACTTTTACATTTTTCTTTCTAGAACTCTTCATTTTCATGATATTGGAACAAAGAAATCATTAAGTCATAATAAAACATTTTCTCACAACTAAAACTTAAGCATGTGAGCATGTTCTAAATTAAAAATAAATAAAATGAATTTTATATTTTGCTACTCTCCAGTACAAACTTTACCTTGTAGAACATGAAAACATTTGGTTTTAAATATTTTTTTTTATTTCTGACATTATAAAATATTCCATGTTAACAGCAGAAAATTCATCTCTCTACGAATTTAAACTACAATAGCTTCAGCATTTCTAATTTTGCTATTATTGTACAATGCAATATGTAACTAGGTACTTCCAAAGATTCATTAAAAATGAGCATATATGATGAAAAAATGCCCCAAATTTAATAAAAACAAAATTTTATCAAAATTTGTTTTATTACCAAACAAGAAAGATTTTTTTATTATTAAATTATATTTTTAAATCCATTTTAGACCTTTTAAAATTGATTAAAATTTTTTTTTTCTTGCCTCAGTGGGTGAGTGACCATAAATCAGTATAGGAAATTTTAGCATCTTTTGTGGTGGAAAAAACGTCTGTTTGGAAATTCTTGCAAAAATCAAATTCAGATTTTAATGAAACTTTCAGATTTTTTTCACAAATGAATTAAATTATTTTACGATTTTTAAAAAGTTTTTTTTCTTTTTTAGAAAATCTTGATAAAAAATATTTCCTTTTACATCTGCTACCCCCCACTTATTTTTATCTTATGAAATTTCAAGAAATTCATTTTTGTACATCTTAATGTTTATATTAATTATAAGCAGAAGTTTTTGGAGGATTTAAATCATAAATTTTTTTTTTCTAAAACAGGATCCTCAGTTATCAAAAATCTTCTCTGAATCATAAAATAAAAAATGCAATAAAACTAAGACATTTTTTAATGAAAAAGGCTTTTAATTACTTTTATGAATAAGATATATTATAGACACTATTGTCTTAAGAAAAAAAATTTTTTTCAATGAACAATAAATTTTTACAACAATTTTCATTTTTTTAAAATTTTAATTAAATAATTTATAAAGTTTTAAATCTTTTAAAATTTTGTATTAATTTATACCAGTTAGTAAAAAAAAACTATATTTACTAATCATAAATAGAAAAGCGCCCCCCCACTCCCATGCTCCATGTATTTTTAAAAGAATTTTGAATTTTTTTTGTGTGTGTGTGTATGTGTGTGTGTGTGTGTAAATGTGCCAATTTTTCTAAATATAGATGTCCATTGACAACATTATCAGAAAATAATGGTGGTAACTATAGTAAATTTAAAAGCCAATGTACCTAAAATTCAATAAAACATAATCTAATGTTTTATCGAATTTTAGGTACATTGGCTTTTAAATTTACTTTAGTTATTACTCTTATTTTCTTAGGATATTTTCACAAATTTTTAAGATTACTGGGTAATTAAAAAAAAATATGGAGAAAAAGCACTCTCATTATATTCATCAAGTAATTTTTATGGATATATCACCTGTTCAAAAACATCAGGCTGACAAGAGACCTGTCAACACCTCATAAAAACACCTACCTCTGAGTTAAAAAGTGCTTTTCTACATTATTTTAAACTAAGTCATATTTGTTTCAAATCAGATTGATTAAACTTTAAATTAGCTAATCTTCCTCAAATAAAGTTCCAGAAAAATATATTTTATTTTTAATAGATTTTTTAATAAAGAGAATTACGTTGTACTGAGAGAATTGTAAATATGGCTAAAATTAGCAATTTTGTTTTTTTTGTATTTTTTTTAATTCTTTCCAATCAATTTAAATTAATTTAGAAATACATCAAAGTATTTATTGCTTATTAGAAATATTAAATTTAATCTATTAGCTTGAAATTAAAATTAAATGAAAGCTTTTCATTTCTGAAAATTCATTTTAAACCTTAGGTATCACTTTTCTTTGGAGGTACCATATATAACAATAATAGCCTGATTTTTCTTTTGATTTTTTTAAATCATTTCACCCCAAGCAAAGCAATAATACCACTAAGATACAAGAGGTTACTGGAAGTAAAATAAAATGAAAAGGAACCAAAAACCCAATCCTAAACAGGAAACAAGGGATAAACTTGTTCAAACGATGGGAAAAAGTATGAACCAGGTGATAGGTTAACCGAGGGTTTTTCAAACTGTGGTCCGTGGACCACAGGGGGTCCGCAAGGACAAGATAGGGGGTCCATGGACAGTAAAGACTTTTTAATGGGTGACGTGCAACTTATAAGCGCTTATAAGTAACTTATAGGCCGATCATGAAATAAATTGATTCAATAAACTATTTCATAGATTTGATATACTAATATAATTTGTATCTTAAATTGATAAAGATAATGGATTCTATTCATGCAGAGAAGGAACCAAAGGATTTGAATTTTGGATCTATTTTGGGATTTCCGGCTTTCTCATTGGCTGTTAGGCGTTTACATTAATGCAAAATTATATGTTATATTCAGCAAATATTTATGTATAAATTTCATAAGCATTTATAAAGGGGGTCCCTAAGGTAAAGCCTGAAATATAAAGGGGTCCGCAAGTCAAAAAGTTTGAAAACCCCTAGGTTAACCTATCTACTCCTATTTGAACCTAGCTGTTAATTGAAAAGATGTTTGCTGTTGCTTATTTAAATTTCAAAGAAGCATAATGTTAGTAAACACAGAATGGGAGAGGGCTATCTTTACAAATCACTTATAGATTTTACAAACATTGAAATTAGGTGCCTGCTGCAGAGAGGTAATTAATAAGCTAGTCTCAGTAGACCATTGTTAGTGTTGTAGATTCAATTTTATTTTGAACTTGTACCAAATAAATTAGGCTTAATATATCTCAGCAGTTTATGAACATATTTTGATAATATCTGTCAAACACTATTGTTAATTTTGGGGGCAATGTTTAACCTTTGTACCCACAAAAAAAAACGGAGCATCAAAAAGCTAGTTTTTTTCCTTGACCCTGAAATTATTTTAAATACCTTCACTCCTTACCAATGTTTATCATTTTAAAAAGTGATGATTAGAATTGTAATAAAAACTGAACATATGAAAGTGAATTTATATGTTTTTGTTCTTGAGAATTTACATAATTTCATAATTTATTAGATTGTAAATTTACAAGAATAATTTTATATTTATAACATTCTAAAAACTAATACAATTGTATAAAAAAAATAATGTAATGCAATATTTATCATTTACCAATGTATAAAGAAATAAATATGAAAAATATTTTTTCTTCATAAATTTATAAACATTTAATAAATTATTAAAATACCTGAACCAACTATAAGGTAATACTTATTATTTACCATTTTATAAAGTTAAAATCAATTGGCAATTAATTGATGTTTTAGCAATCATCCCAATAAACAATAGTGTAAATAAACAATCTAATAAATAAATAATGTTTAATATTTTTGTTGTAAATTCTCAAGAACAAAAAAAATGTATTAATTCATTTTCATATGTTTAGGTATTATTATAATTCAAATTTATTTCTTTTAAAAACAAACATTGCTGAGGAGTGAAGATAATTAAAATAATGGCTGTGTCAAAGGAAAAAAAACATTCTTTTAGCACTCCATTTTTCATGGACAAGAAGGATTGCCATATTTTGTTTTCTTTCTATGCTTGAGATTGTAAAATATACTGATTTTTTTTAAATTATTAAAACATTATACATAGCTATAACACTTTGTTATTTTGCCTTTGATGATTATGCAATATTTTAGAATATTTTGAAGCATCATGATTTCGTATTTTTTATTTCTTTTTTTTACATTGATTATTTTCAATATTATATGTAATCTTCTAATACCTCAATCACATTGATCTTGTAGCAAACAGTGTTAAGTACTGTAGTTGTAAGGGTTGAAAACCTTCAGAATAAACGAATTCAACAAATGGAGGATTTTTTATACATATATTCATATATAAAGAACAATATAGCTCAATAAAGGAAAGAAAAATATATTTGTGTATTTACAGATAGATAAAAGATTGAAAACATGGAAAGAAAAAATTATGGGATTAGTGGTAGTGTGTGCGAGTCTGCTACATGGTTTGGTGAAATTAAGAAGTTGGTTTTCCCAGATATAGCTCCAGTGGCAGAGATTACTATCATATTGTTGCTATTACATCCCAGAGCAAAAAGAGGAATGATAATGATTTCTTTCCTTATACAATAGATTGTTATGCCACCTAGTGGCATTAAGTGAAGTCCATTGGAAGACAATGTGAAGTAATCTCACTATCTCCTTCAATCAAGGTTGACATTATTTTTTTTACACCTGGCAGATGGAATTGTGTATATACTCTTGAACTTGTTCTTTTCTCTTTTCCATCATAGTGTCAAACCAGTAGC